TGTGTCTGTTGCCTGGGACGGCCCTTTTGGAGTTGGCTGATCCTGTTGGTCTCCCTATCGTGGCACATACCCAGCTACAGTCTGTAATCAGCTCTTCCTGCTGCGGCTTTGCGCCGCTTCCCAATGTCCACTGCCGTGCGCGGGTCAACCAGCGGTCATAGAGTTGCGCAATGGAAATCCCAACTTCCGTCGCACCACTAAAAGCCATCCCCAAAGTTGAACTCTGCACTGAAAGGAGGAGGTCCGCTGGGATCACAGAAGACGCATTCCTCATTCCCACAACCATAGCCTCAAAGTGTTTGTGCAGAAGGTATGAACATATGCAGCGATAACCCCCCCGCGAGCAACTCTTGAAGGGGCATGAGGTTGAAAGCTTTACACCAAATTCTCAAAACCCTGAAATCAGACTTGGGCCCAAAAATTAAAGGACCTACTTCATGAGCTTTAGCTCGTTTGGTCCTCAATTTCAGGACCTACTTCATGAGCTTTAGAGCTCGTTTCACATCGGAGAAAACCCCATCAGTTCTCGCCCGTTCTGAGGACGTCTCTCAGCTCGTCAGCCTCGCTGCACAGCACGACCTGACTGGACGACCTTCCCGCGGCTAAGACCCCAGCTGGGGAGAGTAGGGTGCGTTAAGGGGGGGGTCCGCGTTTATTAAGGGAGGGGAACGGAGGAGTAAAATGGAGGGTTTCCGTGTTTTCCGAATTGCAAAATTGGGGTGTGAACTTCAGCATCGCAATCGCCGGAAAAGCTGCGAGTCCCGTCATTCTGTGAAGCCAAACTGCCCCCAGCATCCTGGCGGGAATTTATGCGTCATGGACAGGAGCGCGCGTAGTCAACGAATTGCAAAAGGCCCCGAAGCAGGGTGCAAGGCCCCTAATAAGGAGAAGCTGAGACATCGACAAGCCCGAACTAAGACAGAAGTGCACTATATATTGCCGCCTTGGTCTGGTCTAAGGCTCTTGGGGAAGTCTCTCAGCAGGTCCGACAGACAGCCTGCTGGTATATAACTGCTGGTACGTGCTTTACGGGTTCTGACGGACAATCAGACCATCCGGTTCAGATCTACACGAGGTTGTCTCCAAATGGGATAACTATGGAACCTGCATCTCTGGGTGTTTCCCTTGGTTTCCCTCCAATTCAACAAGGGGGCACCCTTTGCCGGGTTGCTCCGAGCCCAAATGATGATCCATACTCCAGATAAGAAGCTGAGTGGTGTTTCCTGTTGCTTCCGCACTCCAATGGCATGCCTTGAATACGGTGCCACGGGCTGAGGCTTGGGCGTGGATTGGCAGACTGTCGTCGTCCAGCTCGGCACTGAGCCCGGAAGAATGGAGAGTCCTGACTGTCCGAACCAGAAGACCCGGTGGCCCGAAACCATGACATGTAGCGAGCAGCTTCTGTGAGGCGAATATTCGAGCATTCAAGTTCCTCTTCGCGAATCTCTTTTTGCAAGTTTCTCCGCCAAGTTGCCGATGCAACTTTCTCTTGGGGAGCTCTTGGTGGATGTCTCTCTGCCCGAGTGATCTGTGCAAGCCTCTCTGCGCAAGCTCTCTGTGCAAATGATATGTTTGCAAGTTGCTCTGAGCAAGTTTTCCCGCGCGTTAAAACAACTGCATATCGACTACGCTCATGCAACAAGTCTCTCTTCAAGCTCCGTAGCCAGCATCCTCTACAAGACCTCCCGCAAGACGTTCATTGCAGGTCCTGCGGAAGACCTCTCGAGAGTAGAATCACCAACACAAGATCGCTGAGTAGGATCTCTTGGTAGGATCGCTCGGCAAGATCCGCGCGTAGGATTTTTCACAGAGAGCCCTCTACAAGTTCGCTGTTCAAGATGTGCAGGAAGCGTCCTCTACTCTTGCAGGTCCTGCGAAAGACCCTCTTGAAAGAGTCCCTATGAATAAAAACCACAAGATGTCTGCCGAGATCTTTACAGGATCCCTGTCTGCGCAAGAAGTCTGGATAGGATCTGTTACGGTTCACTTAACTTACGTTGCTCACAACTGGCACCGCGCCGCAGCGAGAGAAATTCCAAACGACCAGAAGCCTGCAGCAGTCCCACTGTTGATGCTGAAAATTCGCACTGCGTCACAACCAGAGCAATCAGGCCCTTCCAAAGTTCCGCCAAGTTCGAAGAAGGTTAAAAGTTTACACGGCGCCACAAGAGCGATCCAACACGCTTGAAGCCCGCAGAGGATGCACAAATCAACGGAGAATGTCGTTCGGAAAAAGAGGTCGCCTTGCAAACGTTTTGTCCGAGCCTGTGCAATCAAAACGAGCGAGACGAGCGTAGGCGCCACGATGTACACATTGCTTTGAAACGAAAGTAGCAAGAGTCCACAGTTTTTGCACATCGACCACGCTGATCCCTGAGGGTCGTTAAGCAACAGTCCTCAGTTTTGCACCTACCACGCGGACGTTCGCACGGGCACCGCAAACAGTAGCAAAAGTCCTCCGTGTTTGCTAGGAAGCGTCCCTAGTCTTTGCACATCGACTAAGCGGATCCCCGCAGAAGGTCGCGCCGGCACCGCGAAACGTTGGCAAGGTTCTTACTTTTTGCACATAGACCACGCCGATCCCCGCACTGCAAAAACCATTCGCAATGTTTTTGGAAATTCAAAAAAACAGATCCATTTGTAGAGAGAACTCCTTTGCGGGTAAGTTGCAGAGGAGTAATGCCTGATAATGCCTGACGTTTGGCAACGGGATAGGGAATGCCCCAAATAGGTTGTTCCGCTTTCTCTCTTTTTCGCTTTGGTTCTTTCTGCTTCATGCAGACCAACATAATAATGTTTTTTTTTAGCATCACTACTCACACTACGACAAACATGATGAATCATAGTTTGGGCCAATACACCTTTCTTACGGGCTCCCCTCCAATCGTTCCTAATTCTATCAATGGTAGCAAAGTGCCTAAATCCATGCAAACAATGCAGCGGGCCGAGGTTCTAGTCTTGTTTCCCCCGGCGCCCCATCTGCAAAAACGACACCTCGGCCGAGCAGGGGGGGTGGGGGGGGTGGGGGGGGGTGGGGGGGTGGGGGGTGGGGGGTGGGGGGGGGTGGGGGGGGTGGGGGGTGGGGGGGTGGGGAGGGGTGTATAACTAGGTCCTCCAGTAGAGAGGCTAGAATAAGGGTACCCTTTTTCCGTAGTCTATTTTAGTAGGGGAACCCTCCCCCAAAAAAGGGTAAAAGGGCACTACTGGGGGACCTAGATAAGCACGTGTGACCCACGCTGGCGCGCCTTAGGGTCAGCAACAAGGTAGCAAGCGCGATACCTCGGCTTCGACAAGACGCCCGACATGGACTTTGGCGAGCAAGCCGGGAAGTGTTGGTGAAACTTGGTTGCTGCTGACCCCCCTGCAAAAAGTATAACTTTTTAGGGGTTTAGTGGAAAACACCTTCATTTCCCAAAAAGTTAAAGTCTAAAGATCCAACCCAATAGCGGTAGAGGAAGCAATTGGGAAACAATTGTCCAAAGGTTTGAAGGAGTTTGGGTCACGCCAAAGAGCAGCCCGAGATAGGATCCCTGCGGAACAGTGGGCAAGGGAAGCCTGCCCTGGTCGACTCTTGGATGCTTTCACGGGCAATCTGTCCCTTTCCAACCCTGGCAATCTGGCAACCACCAAACTCTTGTTTAGCCGTGCTATCATGGGATGGACAAAATCCGCTTCGAACAGATGAAGCCCTATATCTGGGAGAACCACTGACCAGCCAGCGCAGAAGTCTGCCCATCCACATGCACATTTGGGGCGTGGAAAGCTTTGCTACGCCTCAGCAAGCCATTTCCAAAGCGCTGGCTCTAGGAGGAGGGCTGGGGGGGCCTGCTGTAGGCTTCCATTGCTTCCATACCGGCAAAGTTGGCAAACTTGTCGTTGTAGCGTTTGCTTCACCTTTGCGTAAGCCTGTTTTGATCATGTTCGCTTCGCTTCGCTTCTTTTCTCTTTTCTTCTCCGTTTTTTTATCTCCTTTGTCTGGCCCATGAATCTAGCTGTTTGCCCGTCTCGCGGTTCATCTTTTTTGAATTATTTAGCCTAGCTCTCTACCTCTGTGGCTTTCTGCATGTCTAGCTTATCCAATTATTTCTGATCTCTGGTTTTACGAGTATGGCGCTGACCGGCTGACCAGACCGGGGATCCGGTCAACCGTGGCACGGTCGACCCCCCCCCATGGTCAGCCACAAGGCATGAAGACAAAGGCCCAACCCAGAAAGGCAAAGGCTGGGGTCTGCTTTTGAAACGCAGCGCTTCAAACAGATTATCCACAGGAAAAAGGGGAAAGAACGGTGCAGTCCACTGGGCAAGTGCGTAGATCTGCCAAGCTGCAGGCCAGCGCTATCAAAGAGAGCGCCGGGAGCGACATGCCATGCCCGCCAGTCAGGTTGCTCTGACGCCTTGTCTGTTGGGTAGAAAATGGTTCCCTTCAAAAGGGAAACAAAAGGAAAGCCTGTGCTCAACTGTTCGTCCCATACAGATTTGAATACTTTGTCCACGTTTACCTCGGAGCAACCCTGAGTGTCTTTTGGCTGAGTCTGACAGAGTGAAGCTCAAAATGTTTCAAGGCACCTTGCGGTAGGCAAGGTGGCAAGATAAAGAACATGTCGGTGTCAAGTGCCCCAAAGGCTTGCCCCCAACAAATTGAGAGCACGAGTTGCTACTTGTTCAAGAGGTTTTGAGTACGTAGGCATGGTTCTGATTCCAACATAATGTCACACATGCACCTTTCAACAGCTGTGGGAAAGTCTGTCGCTAGGTTTCAGTTAAAAAAAAACGGGGACAGCGTTGTGCGCGGTCGAAGCTGGCGTTGATTTGCAGAACTCGTGCAGTTACGTCCAGCTGGAAGCCAAAAGGTGTGGCAAGGCGTAGCACCTAGCCATGCAAATGACTCCACGTCCACGCAGCCATCCTGGGTGACAACATGCGGTAAAGATTATCTGGAGCCCTTTGATTGCCAGCAAGCCTGTGATGCGCTACCAATCTGTCTTGAGCAAAGAACATGCCTTCGCGGCAATCTCGTGGATGTTTGCAAGATTCTTGCCCAGGATGTACCTGAGTTGCTCAAAGGTTCAATTCCTTCGTCTCCAGACACGCCGATCGAACACAGGCACCAGTGGCAACTGGCCCTAAGGGACGCGGGCTGTAAACAGCACCTTTTCATGGAACGAAAGCCTGCCCAAAAAACAATAAAACGGCTTCAACCAGAGCTGGGCCAATCTCTTGCAACACGCTTAAAGCGCTTTGCTGGAACACAATTTGTTTGGTTGCCCTGAAGAAAGGGAATGGAAGCATGGTTTCTCACCCCCCTTTTCCTAGCACTTGTTTAAACAAATTTATTCAATTTGACCCTGCTTCTGTTGATTTGGCCTGCCCTTCCTTTAAATATGACCCCCCCGCGCGTTCATTGCAACCCCCCCCCCCCCCCGTCTTGGAACCTGACCGCCAGAATTTGGTTTGTTATTCTTCATGAGTACAAGTGCGCTCGTTGACCCGTTGATCCCCCAGTCTCTAGCAGCGCTCGGCAGCCCCTGGCTGATCCGCCGCGCTTCCAACGGCTCGTCCTCGCGGCCTGGGGCGGAAATTCCAGCAGCTCCGCTGCCGTGGGGAGCGCCTTGCGCCTGTACCGCTCGCCTCTTTTGCGGGGCGCGGCGCCTGAGCGCGTTGGCCTCTTAGCTTCTTCAAATTGCAGGGGCCTTGGCACTTCGCCCGCGGGCACAGAAACAATCGTCGGCTCCTGCGCCTCGAATCCTACCTTTCGGCGGCCCCGAGCATCCGGGTTGTCACAGCGTTGCTCGCCTGAGTCGCCCACATGAGCGTCCACCTTTCTGAGGTCGTCGCAGCGTCTCATACATTTGAATGGGCCACAAACCACATGGGCGGCCTAGCATCTACTGTTCTGGACAGTCGCAAGGCGCGGGGCGCACTGCAGGTTGCCTGATGGCCCTCAGAATCCGTTGTTGGGGCCGTTGCAACGTCTGCTCACATGCTTGGGGGCCAAGCTTGTCCTGCTCCGTTCCGGATAGCTGCAAGGCATTTTTTTGAGCAGCCAAGGGCTGTCGTAGCCGCAACATGTGCATGCTCTTGGGTGAAGCTTCACGTGTGGTGAACTGCGACGTGTTGTTTGTTGACTGCGCCCGGCTTGTAGTACGGTTGCGCGCCGCTGTCGCCTTATCTTTTCACGTGGGTGGCACAGCTACCTTCACCGTAGCAAAACTGCAAGCTGCCCATTTGAACAGCAAGCTCTTGAATCACGGCTTGCCACAAGGTGGGGCCGCTAAGATCGCTCTAAGTGAGTAAGTCGTAAGCATGATATACACATGTGGTAACCATTTCCAAGCCAGACAAGCTAGTCACAAGTTTGCTACGTGTTTCAGACAGTTCCAAAGTTCCAACCTAGAAACTAGTTTCGTAAGTTACTTAGTGGGCCTCACCCCCCCTCCCTCCCCCCTCCCTCCCCCCCCTCCCTCCCCCCCTCCCTCCCCCTATACAACTTGTGCAAATAGGCCCTGGCTTCCACGACGGGGATTCTGAGCGCCAAGCCCCACGTTCTGATGAGGCAGGTCGACCATCTTTTTGGCATATGCCAAGTTCCTGGCAAAGGCTCCGCCAGAATGCAGCTGGCCCAAAGTAGCCGGAAATAGAAGAAGTACCGTGGACCGATGGGAAAATCAAAAGCTGCAAAGCTAAGCATCTTGGGTGTCCTTTTAGGGCAAATAGATGGGTTTGCCTAGTAGATGATTAAACCACCAGGTAAACCAGGGCCATCTATTCTTCTACCAAAACAGTCAAAAAGGACACCTACGGCTTAGCATCTTGGATATGCGAGGTCATTATCCGTAAATTAACACTGTCCTGTGACATGCAGGGGCACCCGAGACCGGTTGTGACCCACCCTCCAAGAGTTTGCCCGTGCGACAGGCCCCACATCCGCGTGAGACGCGAAGGGCGGGAAAGCCGGCTAACACAAGTATGTCCTGTCTTTCAGCATTCCTGGCCTGTGAGCAGTTGCAACTGCGACAGGATCTTTGCCAGTGATGCGCACCTTGTTGCGGGCCGCTCTGCGCTTCGGTCGCTGCACGTAGATATGAACCAGCCGGCACGGGTAGACTGCGTTTTTGCTACCAGCGTGATACAGGATACTCCAACACATGCACACCGTGTTTGCACCAAGACAAAGGCGACTTCCACCGGACCCTGAAAGATCAGAAATGATCTTGAGCTGCGCCATATGGAACCCATTTGCATTCATTGACCGAGCTTTTGCATACCCATCTGCTAAGAGGTCTCACATTGACCACTGAGAGAGAAGCAATCATGGGGGCTGGGGGGGAGGGAGAAGCCCAAATAAGCCCTTGTTAAGCCCTTAATAAGGACTTATTTAGGGCTTATTTGGGCTCCCTCCCCCTCCCCTTCCTCCCCCCCAGCCCGCATAAAGCAAGGTTGACAACCAGGCTTCTACATTAAGAATCTCTGGGCTCACTTAGCACAACCGATTTGGATGATAGGGGATTTGTGGTGTGTATGCGCGCGTCTGAACTTCAGCAAGGCTGACCTTAGGGAGTCAAACCACTTATGATCGGGTAATGCATGGCGGGCTTGGCAGTGATTGCAAGATTGTTCATTGAGTACTAGATTGCTGCATATATTGAACCCGGATAGAATGGCAAGTCATTGATCTGATTGATACGCATATTGTAAGGTCGGAATCAGCTTGTTCAATGAATTATGTCCTCCGCTTAGAACCGGGTTAAAGGCCCGCCAGCGGCCGGGGTCTGGTGTTCCTTGTGTGTATGACTTTTAGGGTTCGGGCTGCAAAATTGCCGTGTCCGTGGCACCGCGGGATGAGTTATCCAAACAGGGAACTCGAGTGGGGGCCCAAGTGTAAAGCATAACAAAGCTATAAACGACGGAGCGGGCCAAGTCTGCGAGACAGGGGGGATGCATTCCAAAACCACATCAACTGCGAAGCCAAAGCAACATGAGAATGACGTCCAAAACACCCCTTGCCCACTTGCCCAGTGTTCCAAAGAAGAAGCAATCTTTCTCCAAAGCTTCTCATGAAGATGCAAAATTGAAATCTGCATGAAACCCAACATATACAGCCGTGATTCAACGACAGTAGTGAGCTCTGATCTCGTTGCATGCTTCCAGTCGCCTGAACGCAGGCATAGAGCCGAGACCCCTCTGGTGATTGGTCGTTACGCTTCAGGTTTCCAATATGGCTGTGGCTCAAAAAACCGGTACCAAAATGGAACCCTGGCAAGTGGAAACATGGACCAAAACCTGCGTAACCCCCCCTGCTTAATTTTGAGCCACGGCCATATAGCAGGCAACCAGTTGGTTTCCTTACTAGCTTCTACAACTCGAGTCTGGATCTCATCCTTGGTTACCCTCGTTCTGATTGCTGGCAATTCCGGAATGGATATCCTGCCCGGTTTTGCATGGAGCATCCTGATGACCCTCCGAGAGCGGCGCCGGGTGGCCCACATTCTCCCGCCTGCCCACCTATGCTCGGTCGCTGAGTCATACTGCATTCAGCTTGTCCGGATTGCCCAGTGACCCTGGTAGAAAATGGGAAACCTTGTTGAGGTTGACCATTGTTAATAGCGGGAAAGCCAACAAACAAAGGGGAGAACGGGTCCCTGGAGACATTTGGTACCGTCCTTTTGGGGGATCCCCAAAGGGAGCATCTTGCTGCCAACCAACCGTATTGAGGGGTACAACGGAACCAAGCCATCGTGAAAACAGAACTATTCCATCAACTGTGGCGCAACATATTGTCGATAAGGCATGCAAGCCGTGTCACTATCAGTGCTACGAAGCAATAATAGTGTGCTTGTTGCGTTTGGAAGCTTCGCGTTTTGTCGCGATGGTGCCTTTTGCTGACAGTGAGTAGTCCAACGTGGATAGTATGGCGACATCATCCTCCACCACTGCATCTGCAAGGTAGTCCATAGCCCCCCTTTGCATAGGGGATGAACATCTGCCTGGGTAAGTTGAAACATCATGTCAGGGGGGAAACATGAATGTTGTCTTCAATTCGGTTAAGACCCTGGAAAAAAATCCAGCAGGAATACATTCCTTTTAAAACCACCAAGGGGAAAACAAACATACTATTGAGCAAATAAAGTTATGATTTCCACCAAACGTTGGGGGAAGACTGGATCCATGTGTCCTTTTAGCGCACATAGATGGCCCTGGTAGATTAAACCACCAGGTACACCAGGGGAACCCATCTTTTTTTCCACCAAAACAAGCAAAAAGGACACCTACGACTGGATCAATCATACCCGAACCTCTATGGTTGTCGAGCGGTCTCGCCTGAATGGAGACCTTCAGCTGATCCTGCAGGCATGGGCCGGCATTTCCGAGGGGAAAAGAACCACCTGGCCATGGGCCCAAAGCCAAATCGTACCCCCAGTGAACATCAACCAGTCCCACCACTAAAATAGCTTCTAAAATGGGTGGTACACCTACCCCAACACAGCCATCTTCTGCTTCCTCGGCTTTTCTGGGAGTTGAAAAGGTTGTGCTCCTTCACAAAAAGCAATGAAGGAACAAACTCTTCCTTCCCGCCCCTTCCGGAGGAAGTCTTCCCCTAACCCCAGCCCATTCAACAAGGTTGTTGTGCTGTTGTCAAAAGAATTCCAAGGGTGGCAACCGCCTGCTTCAATTTCATCCTTCACGGTGGATACCCTATTTGCAACCAGCGTCTTCAGGATAGTTGCTTCAAGTTTGAGTTAACATAGACTTTAATGTGTCTGTAGAGATTTGAGCAATTAACCCCCCCGCTTCCATTCCACTGCAGGGAACGCCAGGTCAGAAAATCAATCAGGCGGCTCGCTGACAGAGTGCTAAAGCTGACATCCATGTTTTACAGAAATACTCGGTTTGGCCCCGCATTTGGAAAGGACATGTGGTTCCTGCGGAGGGAAGCCAACGAACACCAAACTTTCAACCCAAGTTTGGCTAGGAAGCAAGCCTTTCACCTGACAGGAACCCAACTCCAGACCCTGGCACAAGTTGGCACTGAGGTTCGCAGCGACCCTGTTTGCCAAAGCATTGAGGCTTAGAGTGCTGAAACCTCCTTATCAAGTTCCATATTGTATCAGGGTTGCTTAAATACGTATTCCCACTTCAAGACTTAAAGGCAACTCACTTTGAATCTGCCAAGGAGGAGGTGCTGCAACAACCAGATTTGACCATACACGCCCCCTGTGCACAGGTTGGGGTTGTTCAGCTTCTGTGCTGCTGAAAACCTTCCTGCAAGAGCAGGATTATGTTCATTCCGAAACCCTCTTCTGACATCAAATACAATGGTCAGGAAACCACCCGATAAACGTTCACTTCAGTTTACCCAACATGAAAAATATCCATGTTCCAAGCTTGTGGAGCGCAATATAGGGATCTTTCTGTGCTCCCTTCAATCACCACCTTACCAAAGGCCAAATTTGGGGCACACATTGGTGATGTTGAAACAACCAAGACGAGGACATCTCAGGTTCTATTCACAAACCGAACCCAAGTCAAAGAGCCACACCTTTCGGACCACAAAAAAAAAGAGCAAAAAAACGACCGCTCCAGCCACGCGAAACGCGCCTCCACTTGTTGCAACTCCTGAGGCTTCCTGGGTGAGCCCAAAGGGAACACCAAGGGAACCACCCGAATCCTCCGCAACCCGTAGAACCCTAGACAAGGGAAACCACTATCCTCTGGTACATGGATTAAGAAATGATTTTGAAACAAGGAGCATTCCCAGAAAGAACTATACAAATACCACCCAATACTATACCAATACTAGTTAATACTAAACCAACGCTAGACCAATAATAAACCAATACTACGCCAATCCTACGCCAGCAAAACCACCTGAGGCCCCAAGTCTGAGCCCCAGTGCTTTTTTGGGCTTTCCCTTGTCTGTTGACCCCCCCCCCCCCGAACTTGTTTGAAGAGGGGTCCGCTACTAAAGCCGCCCAACACAAGTCTGGCCGTCACGCAAATTCGGCTCCTCCTAAGATGCCCCAATAAACCTGAACGTTCGCCTCAATTGACCAATGCTGCGCGACACACACACACACACACACACCGTAAAGTGACCAAACTTAGCCATAGCCAACTTCGCCAAATTTTGCCACGCAAAACATACTTGGATGACCAAGCATCTTAGCGGTCACAACAATATGTCCAAACCAGTTGAATATATCGACATCTATCGACTGTAACAACATCGTGTGAAAACCCCAACAAGTTGATCCAGCATGTTCCATTCAACCACTGCCACTGCTTGAGCTAAGGGAAATCGTCATGCCAAGTGGAAGTGCCAACAGTCCCAATAACACTGGCAAAAACTGGCGAAGTATCCATCCTCAAGTGGAGACATTCCCCACAAATTCAGTATGCTCCCTTTGTGGACATCAAGCATCCTGCGCTAAAATTTCGATTAACCACCTTCAAAGAAACCTGGGCTGCCCAAAACGGAGTGGCCAGGCCGATCTCGCATATTCCCTCTTTGGCCAACATGGAAGGGCCGAAAGGGCCGGGCTTTCGTAAACCCGTCGCGGTTGCCAACAAACAAAAAATAGGGTTCTTAGGGACATGCGCAGCAATGGTTTGCATCCCTTGGATAAATTTTCCGGACATTATCTTGAATACCGCTACGAAGACATGCTGCTTCTCGTGGATGGCGCTGACCAGCCTCTTGCCCCTGGAAATCGCAGTTGACTTCGAGACGCGGATCTGAATAGACCGACACAGGGAAAACCACGAAAAACCGATCCGGTTGACAGCTCACCGGACACTCCGCGAATTGTCTATGACGAACAAGGGGATTCCCCAACGATCCCTTACAGAAAGTTGGGATTTCAACACCCTCGGCCGGTAACCCTGGCCTCTCTCTTTTCATTTTTCACCTTCCTGTCCTGAACTGGTCGAAAGTGGCAACTCAACCGCAATAGACCAGCACCCAAAAGCCACAGACCAGTGGTATCACAGTGGTTCTAAACGATTCTGCCAGGTGCCTTGCCGCAAAAAAACAACAATAACGATGACACCTGGTAGACGCGTGGGGGCGAAGGCTGCTATCGAATCCCTCTGAGCAGTGGACTGGAGAAGCTGCTTCATGACTTCCGCATCGATCTGGAAGTCCACCCGGGTGCCCTCCTGGGCGAGGAAATGGTCAAGGGCAAATCTATACCCTCCCCTAGGCGAACATAGCTCCCAGGATCCCTTTGCAAGACTTGGCTCCATGTACTGAGGCCTTCTAAGATCTTCCATGTGAGTTTGAGGGAGTGTACATTGTCAAAGGTGGAAATCAAATGATCAAAGGGCAAATGCGCAATCAAAGGGCGAATCCTCCCACAGATTCTGTGTGTGGGTTGTGTGCAAGGGTCATTTGGGGAACCCCCGCGACTCCAAAGGCTGTTGTGAGACAAGAAAACTGTGTCCTTGGGGGTCAGCCAGTCCAACGTTTTTATCAGAAAGGCCTTCGAAAAGGAGCTGAGCCGTCCCGAATCTGAAACACAACGACATCCTAGCTCGCATCTGCCCGGGCAGCAAAAACTCAGAAACCCGTGCGCTTGATTGCGCTTGCATCACATGGATATGCTACTCCTTTTGTTTGGTGCCTTTTGGAAACTGCTTTAGAGAAAAACCAAGGGAAACCAAGCATTTTGGGCTTTCCCAATGTATGAAGACAAGAATCATACTGGTGGTTGATAGGAAGCACTCAAAGCACCCACGTGGCCGCGTCCCTGGAAGTAGCCGGATGTGAACTTTGCTTACGCGCCCCGGGAACGTCAGAGTCCACGCTTCACGAGCAACGACGCGCTGACGTGGCGGAAGACCTGCAACCATATGTTGGATGGTTGGTTGGTTGGTTGGTTGGTTGGTTGGTTGGTTGGTTGGTTGGTTGGTTGGTTGGTTGGTTGGTTGGTTGGTTGGTTGGTTGGTTGGTTGGTTGGTTGGTTGGTTGGTTGGTTGGTTGGTTGGTTGGTTGGTTGGTTGGTTGGTTGGTTGGTTGGTTGGTTGGTTGGTTGGTTGGTTGGTTGGTTGGTTGGTTGGTTGGTTGGTTGGTTGGTTGGTTGGTTGGTTGGTTGGTTGGTTGGTTGGTTGGTTGGTTGGTTGGTTGGTTGGTTGGTTGGTTGGGTAATTAATTGGTTGGTTGGTTGGTTGGGTGGGTGGTTGGTTGGTTGGGTGGTTGGTTGTGTGGTTGGTTGGTTGGTTGGCTGTTTGGGTGGTTGGTTGGTTGGTTGGTTGGTTGGTTGGTTGGTGGGCGGGTTGGTTGGTTGCTTGGTTGGCTGGTTGGGGAAAAATCGACCGCTTCAAAAGCCTTAGACACCTCATGCAAACCCTTCGTTGGGGCGGGCGGAGAACATACCGCCACAAATTCCGCACCGGTAAATGGGCCAAACACTTTCACATGGGCCCAACTCGGATGTCACCTTCCCAAGTGGATTGGTGGTGTAGAGGATGTGGGTTCCCATTTCTACAAACACCAGTGGTTCACATGCCCTAACCGCCAATCCCGACCACCAGTTAGAAGTTACTCGGCCCAAGGTTACCCGGCCCAACCCCGGGGCAAAACCGGAATCATATTCTCAGACTATGATTCATAACTAGTGAACCTTTTTGAATCCAACATCTTTTTGAAAACAACAGCGGCTAAAGGGACATGCATCCTTTCAGTAGGTGGCCCGAATGGTAGAAAAAGCGGTATCCTTTTTGCGTGAGTTGCTAATGTTTATCGGTGAACCCACCAAAAGAAAAACCCAACAGGTCCAACACATGCTGATAAGCCAGCGGTTGTTTGACGTCAAAGAAGCGATGCCGTGGGCACTTGGAGAGTTGCCATCTGTAAACATTGGCATACAATTGACAACGAAGTGGGGGTCTGTTGGTGGGATCTGTTCAATGGGCGGTTTCCAGTTGGCATCCCGTGAACTGACTATCCCCAAAGAAACATTTGTAAGTTGGTGATGCCCAAAGCTCACCTCACCTGTTCGCTGCGAAAGCTGGGCGCCGTTTGGACGTTCCTCGCAGCTCTTTTTGAGGCTGGCAAAAACAATCCAAAGGTCAACATAGCCATGGTGAAAAATATCCCCTCATCACAGCCCCCAAGTGGTGAAGATCTGGTTGCAGCACGTGCCTATGGAAAACCAATTATTTGCCTGACCATGGACTATTCCATCGGACAATCCAACGGACAACTTCGTGACTTGTCACCAGCCTTTCGACTGATCAGGTTGGCATTTCAGGAGGACACTACAACTTGGCCAAACATTTCTCAGCAAAGTCTGACTGCCCTCTAGCAGGGAGACCTCAGTGCTTTCGTACCTGTTTCTTGAGGCGGCCTGTGCTGCTTGGGCTTATCTGGGTGTGTCTTTTGGGGGGGACCCAAACAAAATCCGCCGACAACAGGCGGCGTGTTGGACATAAGAAATGCTCCTTACCTCTTTACCTGTTACCCCTCCCCTAACCCCTCCCCAGGGGCAGCATTTCAGACTATTGCGGGGGGGGGGGGTCCGTACCACACGGTGATTCGAAGACTCTTCACTACATCTGTTCATTGTGCGGGCTTGCGCAACTCAGTTTGTCAAAAACATTGGGGTGTTCGATTCCCCCCGGGTGCGCTTTCGCATCCTTAGCAGCTCCAGCGGCACATCGCCAGCATCACCTGCATCATCCGCATCAGCGCCTGCCAAGGATGCGGATGATGCAAGTGATGCTGGGGATGTTGCATATGCTGGTGAACCCCCAGTTCCTTGTTGAGATCATTTATTTCCCCCCTTTTCCTTCTAAGGCCTTTTCCCACCCTCAGTTCTTCTCCCTTTTCCTCCCAAAGCCCCCTTTCCTCCCTAAGTCCTTTTCCCTGAGTTCGTCTCCCTTTGCCTCCCTAAGATCTCTTCCCCCCTTTCCCGCTTAAGATCCTTGCCCCCGTTTCCCCCCTAAGGCCTTTTCCCCCCAAGATCTCCACCCTTCTCTTCCCAAAGTTTTTTTCTCTCTTTCCCGATTGAGATCCTGTCCCCCGATTGCCCCTTAGGGCCTGTTCCCCCCGAGAAAGATTTCCCTTTTCCTCCCAAAGATCTTTTCCCCCCTTTCCCCCTTAAGGCATTTTTTCCCCAGGTCTTCTCCCTTTCCTCCCTGAGATCTTTCCCCCCCTTTCGCTGTTGAGACCCTTTCCCCCTTTCCCCCCTTCATTTCCAGATCTTAGGGAGGAAAGGCAGAAGATCTGGGGCAAAAAGGCCTTAGGAAGGAAAGGGGAGAAATGATCTCAACAGGGCAAGGGGTGGAAAAGATCTTCGGGAGGAAAGGGAGAAGATCTGTGGAAAAAAGGCAACAGGGAAAGGGGGGAAAAGATCTTAGGAAGGAAAAGCGAGAAGCTCTCAAAAAAGAGAAGGCCTTGGGAGGGAAAGGGGGGAAAGGATCTCAACAGGGAAAGGGTGGGAAAGATCTTAGGGAGGAAAGGGGGGGAGATGTTAGGGAGTTCCCTCCCAAGGCCTTTCCCCCCATCAGAGCTTCTCCCTGTTCCTTCCTAAGATCTTTTCCCCCCTTTCCCTGTTGGGCTTCCCCCCCTAAGTCCTTTTCTCCCAGATCTTCTCCCTTTCCTCCCTAAGATCTTCCCCCCCCCCTTTCCTTCCTAAGATTGTTTCCCCCCTTTCCCTGTTGAGATCCTTCCCACCCTTTCCCCCTGAGGCCTTTCCCCCCCTGAGAGCTTCTCCTTCCTTAGATCTTTCCCCCCTGTCCCTGTTGGCCTTTTTTCCCCCAGATCTTCTCCCTTTCCTCCCTAAGATCTTTTCCACCCCTTTCCCTGTTGAGATCATTTCTCCCCTTTCCCCCCTAAGGCCTTTGCCCCCAGATCTTCTCCCTTTCCTCCCTAAGATCTTTCCCCCCCTTTCCCTGCTCAGATCCTTTCCCCCCTTTCCCCCCTAAGGCCTTTCCCCCCCTGAGATCTTCTCCCTTTTCCTCCCTAAGATCTTTTGCAATTTTTCCCTGTTGAGATCCATCCCCCCTTTCCCCCCTAAGGCCCTTTCTCCCTCTGAGTTTTTCCCTTTTCCTCCCCACGATGTTTTCCCCCCTCTCCCTGTTGAGATCCTTTCCCTCCTTTCCCCCCTAAGGCCTTTTTTCCCCCTGCGATCTTCCCCCTTTTCCTTCCTAAGATCTTTTCCCCACTTTCCTTGTTGAGATCCTTTCCCGCCCTTTCCCCCCTAAGGCGTTTTCCCCCCCAAGATCTTCTCCCTTTTCCTCCCTAAGATCCTTTGCCCCCTTTCCCTGTTGAGATCCTTTCCCCCCTTTCCCCCCTAAGGCCTTCCTCTCCCTGAGATCTTCTCCCTTGTCCTCCCCAAGATCTTTTCCCCCGAGATCTTCTCCCTTTTCCTCCCTAGGATCTTCTCCCACCTTTCCCTGTTGAGCTCCTTTCCCCCTTTTCTTCCTATTCCTCCTTAAGATCCTTTGCCCCCTTTCCCTGTTGAGATCCTTTCCCCCCTTCCCTTTAAGGCTTTTCCAGATCTTCTCCCTTTCCTTCCTAAGATTGTTTCCCCCCTTTCCCTGTTGAGATCCTTCCCACCCTTTCCCCCCTCAGGCCTTTCCCCCCCCTGAGAGCTTCTCCCTTTTCCTTCCTTAGGTCTTTCCCCCCTTTCCCTGTTGGCCTTTTTTCTCCCAGATCTTCTCCCTTTCCGCCCTAAGATCTTTTCCACCCCTTTCCCTGTTGAGATCATTTCTCCCCTTTCCCCCCTAAGGCCTTTGTCCCCAGATCTTCTCCCTTTCCTCCCTAAGATCTTCCCCCCCCCCGCTGAGATCCTTTTCCCCCTTTCCCCCCTAAGGCCTTTCCCCCCCCTGAGAGCTTCTCCCTTTTCCTTCCTAAATCTTTTCCCCCCTTTCCCTGTTGGGCTTTCCCCCCTAAGTCCTTTTCTCCCAGATCTTCTCCCTGAAAGGGAGACGATCTGGGAGATCTTAGGGAGGCAAAGGGAGAAGATCTCAGGGGGGAAAAGGCCTTAGGGGGGAAAGGGGGGAAAGGATCTCAACAGGGAGAGGGGTGAAAACATCTTAGGGAGGAAAAGGGAAAAAAACAGAGGGAGAAAAGGCCTTCGGGCGGAAAGGGGGAATGGATCTCAACAAAGAAAGGGGGGCAAAAATCTCAGAGGGGAAGGGGGCAAGGGGACAATTCCAAAGGGACGCAAATAAGAAAGCAGGCCTGTAATGTCGGCGGCCTGAGCCGGAGGCACTAAAATATTTCCCTTCGGCTTCCCTTTAAACAAAAAGGTACCCTCAACAAAGACATCCATCTGTGCAAAACCCCAGTTAAAACTAAGCCCAAACTGGAAAGCAGGAACCCCCCTGCTGCGAGCTGCATGGAGCTCATCTTCCCGATTCCCGAGCCCAGGCTTGTGGGGTCTGGAAAAAATGAGGTCAAAATGGGCGAAGCTGAAAATACGTGCTATTAGCACCTCTACCCTGCGCCAGCTTGCGACGTTGCCGCTCCTCCACGGAGCAGCCTTCCACACAGGAGAGTCGGGAAGCCTCGAGTCCGCTGGAGGGTTGGGCAAAATCGGCTGTGACAGTCATGGAGTCCTAGCCCCTGTTAAAGGGAATCCGACAAACAACATGCTGTATCAAAATACAAGGAAGGTGTCCCTTTGGAAGCGTTTTGGAGGCCGGTAGAGACATGCCTGTATGTTCTCTGAGAGGGTCTTGCCCTTGAGCGAGCGAAACAAATCCCCAAAAACCATCCCCAAAAACCAGCCATGCTAAAATGATGCCAGCTTCAACTCGAATATCTTATATATTGGTTGGCGACCGAGCCCCCGAATCCAACCATGGCCCACTATCAGCAAGCCCGACTCCAAGCGCTTCACTCTGCGAGAGGCGCAACAAAGGGCACGGTGACAGGAACTGCTAAAACTGGGTTCCCTATGCTTCCCGCCACAATAAAACAAGTATCCCAGCAGCTCCCAGCACAAGGCGAGAAGTCGAAATCCGCCGGAGCACTATCGTTGGACGAAACTGTGGGTATGTCCGGAGTTTACCGAACAAAACGAGCCAACAACCAGCCAGCCAGCAAGCAAGCCAGCGAGCCAGCCAGTCAACAACCAAACAAACCAACAAGCAAACTAACAAGCAAGCAAGCAAACAAACAAACAAACAAAGCCCAAATGCCAACGAAAACATCCGACACTATGGGTTGAAACGTTGGCATCCCGGCCATTTCCCGCAGAGCGTTGCGCTTCCTGGCGATGTGTCGCCAGTTCCGCATGTGGATGCTGGAGAGCAGCCTGGAAGCCAACGCCATGCGGCTCCTAGCCGAAGCTCATTGAACAGAGCCCCAAACGGCTTTGACTCTGCGGGAACCCCGAAATCAGTGGTTCCACCCAATGGTTTCCCTCAAAACAAAAACACCCAAATGCAACTGGCAAGGAAATTCACAATGACATGCATAACGCCTTGAACACGTGTTCAACTGCCAAGGAAATTCACCATGAAATGCGCAACACCTTGAACATGCATGACTGGATAACCTGTTAAACCTGGCCGAAGCAAACCAAGGGGTCAACACATGCCACAAACCCACCGATCTTGATGACCCAGGACATCCCACAGTGTTCTGTGTCAGAACACCAAGTCGGAAACACCAACGTAGGTCGAAATTCTACCCCCCTCAGAATGGTGTTTTTTTGCTTCTGAAACATCCCAAACTCAGCTGTACCTCTGGAGCACTTTTGGATCCTGCAGTACTTTAGATTTGGCTGTGGCTCAAAATTCAACAGGAGGGGTTATTTTGGTACCGGTTTTTTGAGCCACAGCCATTTCGGAATTTCCATAGGTCCAAGAGTGTCCAACCTCAGAGATGCTGCAAAGAACAATAGAGCATGAGTTTGAGGTTCTTGTAGGTTCTTCAAGGTTCAGGATGCAATGTTTGGTACAAAGAAATGTGGTTCCATTGTCACTCCAGCGTGTAGTGCAACAGCCCTAAGGTCAGCTTCCCTCCAATTGGTGGTTTTGAATTGTGGTTTAGAGCTTCGGGGGCAGCTGACTATTTACCCAGAACGAAAGCCAGGGGGTCAAATCCCCAAACCAACAATCCGAGCTGTCTGATATGGAAGGAGGGGGGATGTCAAAGATGGAGGCAGCTTCTTGCGTCAAACTGACCCTCTACACAAGCTAGGCAGGGAACTACTCGTCATTGTTAAGGGCCGGAGAGACAAACAATGCATTCAACTTTGTTGGGGCTCCCAAGGTTTGTCCTTTCCTACAGACCTGATAGGATGGTTTTCCCAAACCAATAAATTTCACCCATCTGTTTACAATACTTCCCAAACCAATACATGGCTGTGGGTCAAAACCAATGGTACCAGGTGCACCACCCGTCTTAGTCGATTTTAGTGGGGATTGGGATGTTCACTGGGGGTACGGGCTTTTGACCCATGGCCAAATGATTCATAATCAAAACCTGGTACTAAAATGGTCTACCCAGAACCATGTAAAGGACTAAGAAGGCGGCCGCAGCTATTTATGGTTGGGATCGCCCCTTAAAACCTTCATCTACCCAGGTTTTGAGCACGTGGCTCAAATGATTCCCGAAGGAGACTTACATGGCGACCACTGTCCTCTCAGCCACGAGTTTCAGCTGCGCCGTCTCATCAATCCGCAGGCGTAGCTCCAAGACTTTGCTCTGCTGCTGAAACTGGCGAAGCCATTCCTCAGCTTCACATTCTGAGTGAATAGGCTGTACCGGCTATATAATTATGTCTAAGCACAAATGAGTCATAATCAAAACCCGGTATTAAAATGGTCATAATCCCAGAACCATGTAAAGAATTAAGAAGGCGGATATCCGCAGCTATTTCTGGTTGTGAGTATCCCTTACTAACCTTCATCTACCCGAATCGGTTTGAGCACGTGGCTCAAATGAAGGGATCCCTACCTATGGCTCAGGTCTCACTGTGACCATTGTGGGGTTCACCGGTCTCCATCCCTTGTCAGTTTGTCAAGCCTTGATTTCAAAACAAACTGGAGAGTGTTAGTGGGTTTGGGACAGGGACCTTGATCCCTCTGGAGAGTGGACAACACAGAGTCGGGGGGGGGGGGGTTTGACCAAATGTGGGTGCTTTTGAAGTATTGGTTATCAGTTGGCTCGAAAAAACGAGTGGCGTTTTGAACTACATATGCAACCTTTCAACATGACTTGGTACACCGCGGCGCTCCAGGGAAAGCCATAGGCCGGGAGGAAGTTGCAACCGTGAATCTTGTGGACCCGCTATCCGTGATCAGAACTGGACATACTGTGGGTGGACGAAATCCTGCACCAATTTGAAACCATAGCAAACCATTGCTTGTTGGTATTTGCAGGGGAAGCATCACCCCAGGGTCTTTTAGGTGGTGCGAAATGGATTCCGTCCATCCACAGTAGTCCCATTAGCCCTGGCTACCATGTGGGGGTCTGGAGCAAACAGGTGATGGACACCTTCCATTTGCTTAAGCCCCCTGGACAAAATATTTCCAGTAGTGATAGATTCCCTCTAAAAACCAACAGGGGAAAAAAGCAATCTTAAGCAAATAGATGGACACCATGGCACACAGAGATGCAGCTCAGCGGCTCTGAACACCTCGCGGTCCTCCTCTGTGTCATCCACGTTCACAAGGCCTGCAACGGACAAGGTGGTGTTTTCCCCCAAACAAACCTGGAGGCCTTGTTTTTCTGGTTGGGGGTCAACTCCACTGATGCATTGCGCGGGGTGCCATGATACTTCCAGCCACTGATCAAGGCCGCACTGCGTCTAAAGAGACAAGGTCCGAGAAGCATCCGAATAGCCCTAGCCAAAGCCCAGCTCGCACCCATCGGCATGTTGTGTTTTAGGATACCCAGGTTCCCTGTAAGGTGTGGCTTGGCATCTGAACCGAATGCAAATAAGGCTGGGTGTCTGCTTTGTTATATAACTAGGGGCTTCCAAGAAAACGCCCTAACATCGTCCCTCACAACACAGGAGCGTCGAGAGTGGCGTACCCTCATTTGGGGGTTTTAGGATTCGGACCCCGCTTCCTGGTGAAGTTTAAACCAAACTTCAAATGAAGAAGGTACCCAACGTCCAAACAAGCAAACCATCAATGATGGGCAATGGTGCTAAGACCACCGATGCCCGACACTCGACTGTTGGGCTTGTCTCCGTAGAACGCCCCTTTAAGGAGTGGCTCTCTTTTGGCTTCTGAAAAGGGTGCCCTCAAGAAAAGGAATCACATTTGCATCAAATGCATCTTCCTTGAAAGAGTTATTGAAGAGAGAGTTGAAGAGAGAGAGCCTCTTAGGGGATTGCCCGACTACCCCAGCCCTTTTTGCATTGTGCAATGGTATGTAAGTAAGTGTGCCCATGGTATCTCCTTTACTACTGTAGATGCCGTACAATGGGGATCCCAAATAAACAGGGAACCCAACAAAAGGTCGGAGTCCCTTTGGTTTCGCTTTAAACCAAGGCGAGAAGGGTGCCCTCAAGAAGAAAACACAAGCACACACAAATTGACCGAAGCTCACCTCCGGCCTGTTGGCAAATCAAAGACGTCTTCTTGCAATGTGAAGGTGCTGAGCAGCCTGGTCTGTGCAGGTGCTCGCATGTCCTCCGCCTTCACGAGCAGGTCCTTAGTCGAAACAAATCCAAAGTCCAAAGGACACATTTTAAACAACCACAGAGCTATGTGTCCAAATAGGAGGAGCCCAGTCATTGTGGTTGTCCTTTTGGTTTTCCCTCTAAACCAGCATCAAGACGGGTAACCTCAACAACACACCCAAATGGGTATCCTCCCTCCAACAATCATGGAAGCTGACCACGTCGGAGGAACCTGCAGAACCCACATCCGTGATTGGAAGGAGAGTTTGAATTACATGAGATCCTGCAGGTGAATTCCATTTGCTTACGTGGGGTCCAACCATTTTGCAAGGCTTTCGCCAGTGAACTCATAGCCACGTAGTAGCGGGATTGTGTTGACGTCAAACCCACGTTTGCAACAGGCTCTTTCTCAATATTTCAGAATAATATTTTGGCACCGGCACTTTTATTCTGCAGGTGAAGTGGTAGATATAGATGAGCTTGCAGCAAGCTGGACAAGGCAGGTCTTCCTCCAGAACGTGAAACACTTCGAAACCCTGCGGAGGTGCAATGGGAAGTCTCACACTGTCCAACAGATCCAAGGGGCGATTCATCCGTTTCCACCGAGGACCAATGTATTTCGATGGTTCCTGGATTTCACACAGTTCTATTGTTTTGTCTGCGCGTATGATCTGAGTGACTCATCCACCTGATTGAAAGTAGCCCATAGAAACTCCGATGTTCACGGATATCTTGACGAACCATGTTACATGGAGTTGGATCATTCAATGAGTTTCTCCCAGATTTAAGTTTTGCCATCTCAGTGCCAAGCTAAACAACCGCATTTGATCATCCACATTCATGGGCAAAACAATCTTTCTAAAGATCCCAGGTTTGGTGTCAACCCTTCAAAGGGATCCAACTTCTACCAGTCCATCAATCCCTTTTGTGTGCAACTCGCACACAGCGCGACAAGGCGTGATGAACCGGCTGAGGTCGCGGCATTGTTGCGGCTCTTGCCCCGCACGGACACCAAAAAGAAGGGCTTCCTCGCCGTGCGCACGGTGCCCGTGAAGATCATCGCAGGCTTCGTGCCGGAGCCGGGCACGCGGACCTGCGAAAGGCCGTAAGGTACGTGTTTTGAGGTTGGTGTAAAGGGAAACCACGAAGAAACCCCGCGATTTTGAAGGGATCCTTCTATTTTGACACATACCCAAATGATGTGCCAGTATCGTAAGGGTGCCTGGTACCTTGTGGGAGTGTGCTTTGACTCTTTTGGACCTTAAATTGCATCCTCAGAAGGTACCTGCACCCTCGAGTGTAGGAAATGAAGGGAACTAACCTTTGAACTTTATTAATTCCTGCCTGAACCCCGGTCCTTCTTGGGCCTCGACCTAGTGTTTCCATTTACCAGTATAGGAAACCGAGGGAATCCCCCTTGACTAACAAAACAATGGTTGCTTACCTACTACAGTGGTTTGCCCGGGATCACTGGAAAGGCTGATGTATTTTGTAATTTACTGTCTATCTGAATTCCTACAATTCGTGACCTACCAACCGGACAAAAAAAGAGACCCCCTAGTAAATAGCCTCCATCACATGGGTGAGCACGCTCCCCCCGCCGAGTGAGCTCCTCATGATTAGCTGAATGCATTTCATTCAATGCTAGTCTGACTTTTGCTCATTGTCCAAATATGTCCACTTCTCCGACTCCAAAATCTCCCTGAAATACGAGATGGCCCCTAAGGAAAGAACCATTTATGCGTCAGGTAACAAACACCCTTTGCCCATGCCCCTTCGCATCCCTTTGGGGCTGGTTTCCCACAGGTAAGCCATGAGCTGCAAATTGATCAATATGTCAGCAGCTCAGGGTTTCATAGCATGGGTTCATACATTCAGCCTTTGAGCGTCATGCAAAACATATGTTCACTACCCCAAAAGGACTTGGGCGTGCCTTTTCAAGCATAAGTTGCGATGCAAAAGTCGCACGGAAACCACTCATTTTGGGGATTCTGCTATTTTTTAAGACAACCATCAAAAGCACCGGTTTCCCCAGATGTTGAGAGCCTTCAAGCCTCACCTCCCATCTGAGCGGTCTGCTCCTAAGGAATCCCAGGATTCTGGCAGGAATTGAGCGACCATGCTCATGCCACAACTCCTAAGATGCTTGCCGCAACTCCTACATCTTGGCTGCGTTTCTTTTATGAGCATCACGTGAACCACAACTATCAGAGAATCATTTGGTGCTATCCCAACTGCTATTCAAGGTGGTCGCGAGACGCAGGGAACGGTCTTGCCACGATTCGCTACGCAATCGTCACAAAAGGAAAGGCAGACACCCGCAGTACTCCCGCAGTCCCCGCCCAGAAAGTTCACAAAGGAACACACCCGGCAAGCCTTTATGTGTGTGTGTGTCCAGTAGGTGTTCAGTTGATTTTCGGAAGGCGCAAAACAAGTCTAATCAATACATGATTGGCCGATTGTATTACGAAGGTCGTACCCTTTCTAGTGGCCTCTACAACGTCATTCAGCTTCGGCACGAACGAGTCGTCTGAATCTTCGTCATCGTCTCTAATGGCCAAACGTACCTGCAGGACAACGGACCAGCCTTCCCGGTCTGAATGTGCCAAGCTCTCATGGGGACGCGACGGGTTGTCCCAAAAACCCTGGCACAAGAGTGGAGCGTTAGCCCCTAATACTTTAACACCAAAGAACACCAAAAAGCAAACAAACCCTTGATGTTTGGTCATCTTGAGCTTTGGAGCAATCCCGCCGGATCAGGCCATATTCCAAACATCACCTGAAGATGATCCGTCAGGGCTCATGGCTTGCCTGCAAATGAGGAACGTGCTTGACATGAGTTGTTGCGGTGACGTGGGTCGAGCACGCCTGTCGCATTGCTCAATGGCAAGCGTGCAAAAGGCTTGGCTTGAGGCATGCCCCAACCGAGGAACAAGGAAGACAAATCAAAGCTCAGCCGCGCTCAAGCGATTGCCAAGCCGGTGCAAAGCAGCTAATTCTCATCCTTTGTTCGACCTCCTCAAGGGAGTGCCTCTGTTCCCTCGAAAAGACGCGGTCAAAAGTAAAACCCTTTGTGGGAAATCTACTTTCAGGTTCTTTTGAAGGGAAACCCTAGCCTGAACAGAAACCCAAGGGAAACCGAACCCCATACAGCCACGCATCTTGGGGACTTGACAACTCGCTCCCTGCCTTGTTCATGCTCACCTCACGCTCTTGCTGTCCTTGCTGCCTCGAAATTTGTCGCACTGCATTCGGAAGACAGATCTGGGTGTGTTGTGATTGATTACAATAAGTGCACTTCATGGTGGTTGCTACGCCTGCCGGGCATGATGGGCATCTCTGAAGGACTCTTCATTGCAAAGGTCTAGGGGGGGGGAATGTTGGGCACGCGGTGGCACCCAGGAGCAGGCTCAATGTTTGACCAGACAGATTTCTGCTGGAGCTGAGAGCCCTGCACAATCACCCATCCTGGTCGAGATAGGGACAGCAGCGTCGCCTTGTATGTGGCAAGTCCACCCGTCTGTGCCCAAGTAATGTCCATTTTGGTTTTCTTTTTTTCCGGTGGAACGTGCTAATATTGAGTGGGTTCCTTTCAATGGAGAACTGAGATATTTTGGAAGCTTTCTCAATTTTGGACTCTCGGCTTCCGAAGATAATAGGCCATCCACATGACCACATTACGGGGGAGCTGTTGTCTGCCACAAGACAATAACGCGAGCGCCGTCCCGCCGCTGTCGATGCACTTCAGCAAGCTGTGACATATCTCCAAGATTGGAGTGTGAGTCAGTCATCCTCAGTGTAAACAGCTGTATACGCGATTGTTGCAGTCTAAGGTTGTTCAAAGACATGAGTGTGGGCTTGATTCTGCATAGTGTGTCAGAGCAGTTTATTCTCCTCTGTAGTTCGTTGACGTTTCATAATCGTGAAAACCGAGTCCAAACGCAGCTTCTGCCAGTAGCAACATCAGCATCAGTAACATCATGAGTGGCACAAATATGATTTGTAATTATCAGCTTTGCAAACAGCATTCTCACACAACTCGTCAGCTCTAGTTTCGCGCAGTTCGCAATTTCCATCATATGTGAAGCAGCTTCAAGCTTCTCCTTCAGACAAACTTCTGCTGCAATGTGTCATCTGGACTGAGTGTGAGCAGAGGAGACACTGTAGAAGTGATCCTGTGTAAGTACAGTCGATGGCAGACATGGTGCAAGTAAGAACCTTCGCACCGTTAAAATACAACAGCTGTTGTTAAGTTTCGTACAGAAGATTGGGCAAAACATGATGTAGAAAACAAGAACAACCATACAAGTTGATCCCCCGCAAACATGTTTGCTCATAGATCTGAGCCTGCACAAGTCGTATCTGTGGCGGCGTAGTTCACCCCCACTCGGGCAATCTGCCCGTTGGCAGAGGCGTCGTCACCATTCTGACAATGATACTTGTGCAAATTAAAGGCGGCAGGCCACCAACCGACGCAGTTTTCCTTCCAGCCAGGCCTCATACCAGGCGTCATCCGTCTGCACTTCTACAATGCTTCCCACGTGGGTCTCCTGGCAAACGGCACAAGAACCTCAGCTTAATAGGATTGACAAGTGATGCAACGGTGACCTGTTCTGGTCCTAGCCGGCAAGGCTTGAGGATGCTTCAGGGGCGTCGCAAAGTAGCGCTGTGCCCCCAAAAGGAGGCCAATTGCCAGTTAACTTGCGACCAGAACGGGTAACCCAGGAAATTCACGTGTCTTTCTTGAAGAAGCTTTTTTTGTGAAAAGGCAACCCTCCAGGGTTCCCCTATTTTGAGACAACCCCTAATGTCCTAATCAATTGGTGGTAAGTGGAAGCACCGGCTCTCAACTCATGAAAACCAAAAGATGCGTGTTGCGAGTGCCCAAAGCATGAGTCTTCGCCTGGGCTGCAAACAGACCCCCTTCCCAGACCCACATGTTCGTTGCGGCTCGTTTACCATGCTTTGGCTGGGTTACTCTGGCACTGGGTTCAACTCAGTGGTAAATGAGCCGGGGGGGGGGAAGAGTCGGAAAGCACATTTATTGAGTTTCTATTGCTGTGAATCATGTAATATGAAAGTTTGTTTAGTGGCCAGCTAAGAATTGGCTTGTAGCTCAAACAACACCGCGCATTGAAGTCAGCTGTCTCATTTCAGCAAAAATTATTGCCCAAAGAGGCCTTACTTGCCCGGTAGTTGGAACAGGCGCCGCAGATGGCCGTGGTGAATTCTCCATGTTTTATCAATATTGTCAGATGGACGCGCTGGTTTTGGAGGGAATAATTGCGTCGTGACCACACTCATGAGGTGTTGCGGTTCAGGATGCGCTAGGGTGACGACTGGTTGCTTTGTCCTGCCTTGGTTATACCTATCCAACTTGGGCCCTTTTTTTCGCACACCACCCCGTGCTGAACGTGTTGATTTTGTCTCTGGTGGACTTGTGGTATATAGATAGCTTGATTGTCTGGATATTTATTTAATTATTCTTGCTCACTCAACCACCATATTTTTGGGGACTGACTGAGCGATGGTCACTACCTACCAGACATGGTGAGCGAGAAAAAGGCTGAAGAGCTTGGGTGAGCTGGGCAGGAAACTAAGTGGTGGAACTCAACATGTCGGTCTCGAAAGAGTAAATGGGCTCGCTTAAAAACAAGCGTTTCGCTGAGGCAAGACACTGGTTTAGAAAACGTGGCTTGCGTTTGCAGACGAAGAGAACGAACAAGTAGCTGGGGGGTTTCAACTTGTGTTGTAAGTGCGTGTTTCGCCTAGGCGGAACGCTGATTTTGTCTTCCCCCCCTCTGCAAATTTGAGTTCAGACCTAAGTTTCGGGGCCGCAATGTGGTCGAAACAGCAAGGCCGGCTATGGCGCATGTACCTAGTTTCCCACGGGACCAAAAGGGAGCCCAGAACAACCCACAGAGATTGCAAAGCCTACAGCGAAGAAACAAGAAACGCACCCTGCGACTACCAGCCAGAAACGCCTGACTCAGAAAATTCTTCGCGAACTAGATCCACGGAAAATGTGGGGCCCAAAAGCAAAACGGTGTGTTTTTTGAGGGTACTGGGGTGACCTTCAAAGGAAACCAGCAGGAAGCTATAGCTATACCCATTTTCGGGCTCCCCTAGAAATTTAACAAGGAGTTGCAGTTGGTTGGATTGGCTGCTTCATGCTACTTCTGTCGGTGGAATTGTCCACTATTTAACATTTTTTCCCCGTGCTTCCGAAACGGAAAATTCCCCTTGTAGCAGTCGAGTGAGTCGTGCGCTTACGATCTGGGCTGTGGCACCAAGAGTCAATATTGAACAAGACCAGGGCTGTGGGAAATGAAATCCACTTCTGTGATACATCAAAAAGGGCCTAACCCCGAGGAACCCCCCATATAAAGAGGGGATTCCCTAAAGTATCACCGAAGCGGGGGATAAACCCCTTGATCCCACAACCCTGAACAAGACCAAACAGGTTGTTCAGAAAACACCCGGATAATTGGATGGCGTCCCTGTTGTGTCATCCCAAGGTGGCGACCCCCCAATTTTCGGACAGCTTGCAAACATGGCAGTCCTGGGGAAGCTGTTGCATCAGCACATCCGACAACTAGCATGCAACTCAAAAATGCTCCTTTGCAAATCTGGGCGGTTTGGACGACGTCTGGGCGCTTTGCATTGTGGCTGAAGGGATTCGCAAGGAGCATTGCGTGTAAGCTCTGTTTGTCCTAACAGCTTCGGGACACCGTGCTCTCAAGAATCGCCATTCATGCCGGTGGTGCTAAATGCTGCACTTCTGTCAAGCTGATCTGCAATCACATGAAGCACTTTACTGTCATGTCTATTCCCTAAGATGAGCATGTCCACATCAGGATCTCCTCATGGTCTCATGTTGGCCGAAAGATACCTTGCTGAGCCCTTGGAACTGAATGTTACTTATAGCTTGTGATGAGCCAAGCTAACTTAACTTTGGGTATGATTTCCGCCACGGATCTATCCATCTCCGTTGTTGTTATTGTTAGAATAATCGATATCTTTGTTGGGGATAGGAATTAGATTTCCAAGATTTCTTTCTCTATCTTTATTAGAATTTGTATTATCAGAGTTATCATTCTTTGGCTTAATATGTGAGTTTGCAGGTTTGCGGGCGTGCAACTGTGAGGTTGTGGGGTTCATGCGATCATCAATCAAGCAAGCTGCTTGCTCACAGGACCCTTTGAAGGTCAGGAGGCTTCACCAAATATCAATGAATCCCAGCCTCGAACCTGTCGATGTGTCTTTCTCCTTTGTCCCCCAAGCAATGGTCTTTCCAACTTGCCGGGCTGAGCGCTCACCCAGCTTGCTATTCATGCAGAACGCCGCCAGAGCACGAGCACCAATTAAGTGCCAGCTTCCAAAGGCAGTTCCACCACTGTCACAGGTGTCAAACCCAAAGCTGGCAAAGGAGTCTACCCAAAACCACATTTCAAGTCAACTTAAAGGCCTCTTAAGAAATGGGCACTTTATAATTTGTGATTGGCATCAACTAGTTAACTTCAACCCAGTTGTGGCGGGTCACACCGGGACTGCACACCTCGACTTGCACCTCCGTCAAACCTGGCCCAACTCCCATGGGGTGCACCAAAATCAGAGGCACTTGAAGGCGACTTGCGTTTGACTCGCCCGGCCACTGTCCCAAATCACAGCGCTTCAAAAACATCTTGGACAAAATCACTGCGAGCAAGTGTGAGACACGTGATGCGCTTGTTTTGAAGGTGTTCCAAACCTTTTGGCACAGGGCAAACGTGTTGTTTTCGGACGTCGGGCCATGCGCCCGCTAGGCATGTGTCAAGCACCTCTCTCCAGAGTTGAGTTGAATCACATGCGACAGCGCCTGCGCGGGAGGCGGCCAGGCTTGCAAATGCATCCGTTGTGCGAAGCACTGGCAAAACAACAAGGTGCGAATAGGTGCACACTCGGTTGTGCGTACGGATTCTGCCCTCTGGATCATTATTTGTATCTCGAACAGTTGCAAAAACAACATGGCACGGCTGTTGAATATTGGTGTTTGCTTATTCCGACTCTGTAATTACGGTACGCTGATCAAATACGTGACCCACTTGAGAATGTCGTCAAGACCACAGACTTGCTGTCAGAGAGATGGAAGCAATCTAGGAGACGCCGATGTATTGAGAGACGCCTCATTGAACCAATCTAATTGATTGCTAGGGTGTGACTCATCTTAGTGAGAATCATTCGCTACTTCGGGAAACATTCACTTCTATTAATCTGCAAGTTCATCAATCCGGGTCGATGTAAGGGCTAACAAGCATGGTCAGTGGAGTAGCCAGGAATCCAACCAACCGTTGCGAGAGCCATATTAAGCGAAACCACCGTCCTCCAGTGCACGATCATCCCACATGCAAGGAGTGTAACCACAATGCTCGTAATGTGAGGCGAAGCATTTCCAAGACAATTGAAGGAGACAAATAATGGGCAGGACACGGAAGGAAGAAGAACCACATTCTGCTCAGCAGGGATTTCTGTTGACAAGTGCTGGTGTTCCTAAGTATATTGGACTGGTGTCAAATTCATGGACAGGAATGCATATATATATATATATTGTGGGTATAGTTTATATAGCCACACACGCACATGGCGTCCCTGGTATCACTAATCATGGACTCGCGCATAGGATTATGTTGCGCAGGGTCAACCTGAATGAAGAACATGTGTGAACATGGGCTTCCCAAATCGTGGCCCGCAAGCAAGATGCAATGATCCGCTTGAAACTAGCTTGCCCCTGGCTGTCTTTGAGCTCCCACTCCATGGAACCCAACATGCATCCAGCGCAAGTACCAAAGCTGTTCATCTAAGTTGTTCAATTTGCTCATGTTGTTCAGCTTCACTTGGCCTCACTTGGCTTCGAAGAGCAAGCGGGCAGGCAAGCAAACAAACCAGCAACTCAGCAAGCCAACAAGACAGCAAGACAGCCAGCAAGCCAGAAAACTAGCAACATAGCCAGCCAGCAAGCAAGAAGCACGCAAGGTGGCAAGCGTTCAAGCGCGCGAATCTGCCAGTCAAGAATCGAGGAAGCAAACAGGCAACCAAGCAAGCGAGCATGCACGAAAGTGGGCATGCATGCATTTATGCAAGTTGCGAGTGTTACTTTGCAGTTAAAAGTTTGCTATCCGAGCTCAGCTGCAAAAGTATAACTGACATACTGCGTTTGCGCTCGAAGTTGCACGTTCCAAGCTCCAGCTGAGGGAGTGGACCCCGCGTACTACTTCCGCACTGAACGAGCTCCTACAAGACGTTGGCACCCGAGGGGCTGAAAGTGAATTTAACATTAGTGAATCACGCGAGAAAAGCTTGGAGGTGATTTGATGATGTGATTTTGAAGATAAGATTGACAGGTGTAGTCTGAGGCCGTTCTTTGGAAAGGGCCCTTCGCAATGCTTCAGGGAAGAACAGGTTGAAAACGGCGCCAAAGCAGAAATTCATGCTGTAAGCATGTTCCAGGGCATTGGGCATGTCTTCTCTTTACAACCTGTTTGTTTTGCGGTTGGAGAAGTGTAGCCTCAGCGCGGTCTGGCCACAAAAAAACCTGAACTCCCATAAGCCGAAACCATTGGCAACGGTCAGTGGGAACGCGGACAAGACTTGTGCGTGCAAAGCCGTCCCAAACAGTGCCTGCAACCTCCTGAAACCAAGTCCCCAAATAAGAGCAACACGGGGGCCTGACACCTGTAGCCATGGCTTCCAATTGAGCCTGCTTACAGGGCCCAAACGGCCAAGTCCTTACCCTGAAGGTCGCAGGCAAGGCCAAGGATCACACGGAATATCATCAAGGTTCGGGCACGCCGGTTGGGCTCGTTGCAAAAACCGAAGCAATCCGATCCAAACCGCGGTCAGGTTTCTCCGTTTTTGGATCATCTTGTACAAAAGCTCCGACCCTCGGGTTTTGATCATGTTTCAGAGGTTCGCAGCAACCCATACCTCTTGAGCAGTTCTAGGAGGGATGAGGTAGAACCCCGGGGTTGAGGCTTGGCCAGTCCGCGCCTGGCCAGCAGTCTCCAACGTGTCCGTGGTTGATCCGTCCGAGTTTCGCATCAGGAGCTTCCCGGTCTGCGGAGGCCGGGCCGACCCCAATAAGCAAGGGAGTCGGATCTTGATAGACGATACACAACTGCTTGAACCATGACGAAAACTAAAAACACCTCCAGCACAACCAAAAAAAATGTTTAACTCGGTATGCACGTAGTACAGCCCCTGACGCAAGATGGCAATAGAACAATAGGATTCGGCTTCGACCGCTGCTCGCTTGCCTTGAGGGTCAGGAAGTTGGCGATGGCTGTCTCCTCTGTGAGCAAGCGCAACTTGCGCTACGCTGCAGAAAGAAGAACCCAGAATGGGCGGTTTATGTTGGGTTTCTTCCTTCAACACAAGGCCGAACAGGCTACCCTCGAGACAAAGCCTGATAACAAGGTTTCTCTGTGGTGAGAGCTGGCTAAATCCCGGTGAGCCGCTGCAAGCTCGAAGTTCGGAAATACGCGGCGGCTCAACATTCAAGCTTAACATGAAACTTGAAAAGGGCGTCCCCAAAAGGAGTTCTCTTTTCCCTTAAACATTGCGGTCTTCTGGGTTTCATGTTATTATTTGGGGAGTAAAAAGGCAAATGGGCCTACCTTTTGAGGGAACCTACGTATCTGTTGGTTGTTGTAACGGGAAGCCAACAGCACAAATTGGGGTCCCTTTGAGACAAACCCGTATTCTGGTTCTCACAATGATGGCAAGGAGGGTTAAGGGAAACCAAACTCACACAATCTCAGGTCTGTCGCGGCCCAGCCATGTTAGAAACGCCCGCTGGCTTTTGGTTGGAGAAAAACCAACAAAGAACCGCCGCCGATTTACCCCCCACGCCGAGGCCGTCGCCACCGTCTCAGAGGTCCCGAAGTCCATCTCGAAGGAGGCCGACGCGCCTGACGCGGCCCGAAGTCGCTGGTCTCGTTCCGTTTCCCGATTCGAAGTGCATTCCCCCATTCGAAAGGGGATGCAATCCTGACATCCGAGAAACCCACAACCTTGGAGCTTGCTTTCTTGGGGAACATGGGAGTCATTGAGGGCATTCAAATGCACCGCATGGGTTTCTCTTGTCCCGTTTTGAAGTGTTATTTCCGTACAGAAAGGGAATGCAATCCCAAACTCCAAGTTTCCCACCTTGGCCTGGCTTGTTTTCGTATTTTAATGTATCCCTGGGTTTCTCTGCCTGAGTCCAGGATCATCTGGGTCTTTTGGACGAAGTCGATCTTGTCCAAGTGCAGAAGCTCCAGGCGCAGGGCTGAGTCGAGCTTCGAAGCGGACAGGCGCCCAAAGCGCCCAAAATTCGGCTTGTGGCGCTCGGCGGCAAACAAGCAGTTCAAAGGCGACCCGTCTAAAATGTGGGTTGGTCTCCTTGTAGAAGTGAAACAAACCTGAGGAACAGCTTTTTGTGCCTTTTCTACTAGGGCTGTTTTTTGTTTACTAGAGTTTGCTTTTCTTAGGGCTGGCAACAGCCCCAGCATCACCTGGACTTGCGTATTCATGCCGATTTTAAATACGATCTTCGACTGCATACGATGGCTTAAGCAACACGACCTGTCCAAGAACCCGGACTCAGGTTGGGAAAGGGGAAGAGGACCCACACGCAAACAATAGAGCCACGTGGGCCTCAGGCGGGTGTGTCTTGTTGGGAAGGCCCCCACCCTTTCGGTTGTTTTAAAGGCAAACCAACCGGCAACCACGAATTTGCGGGTGTACCTTTGCGCCAAGCCCAATTGGAAGGGTCCAACTCCGATTGTAACCCACACCTAAGTAGAAGGAGGGCCAATTACCCAAGCAAAGTCCATGAGGCAAGGGTCACAAATGCTACCCCAGTTGCTGAGTGACCTTGGAAGAAACATGCATCCTCTTTTAGGTTGAGCGTCTTTAGACGCGAACCCATCAAAAGGGAGCACAGCTGCCACAACTGGCTCTTAATGCGGCACAACATATGCCCCGGTATGCCCCCCTTACATTACTTCTCGGACGTGGATATCTTGGGATTCATCGAAACCGAGCACCCCACCATCAAAGCCAACCTTTTGGTGGCACGTAGCTGACGCCTCAGAGGACCAGTGACACGGTGGCTGGGTTGGTCACCGTGACCCGAGCAAAGCAAAGTCGCTATTTGCTCAAAAGGAAACAGGCGTTGTCCCAGCTAAAGGACATGGGTTTCCTACTGGAAGCTATATATGTTCATCAATAGAGATCTCACAAAACAAAGAAAAGAAACAAACACATCCACGGAATCCAGGCTGTTCATCATGCATGGCTTGCTCAACATGTCCGCAAGAAGCATACCGCAACAACGCACAAGCCCTGCACAGGGGAAAAAACAGTAACATGTTGCTTCTTGATCCTTCTTTCCATTGCTGATAGGTGCTCTTTTTGTAGAAAGTTCAAGATCGCCACTCGAAGCACACGGGGTTCATCACACCCATTCCCACTGTAAAGGCCTGCAATCCAGAATCCGCCCGCCAAATGCTGACACTGCTTCCACCAAATATCAGACGTAGTCGGCTCAAGACACGGCTGAGACATGGCCTTCATTATCCAAATGGACAAGATGGCGTTCAAGTCTTCAGGTACTTGATGAGAACTTGTGAAGTGCAACTATATTTTTTCTAATAACCTGACCAAGGCTTGGGTTCAAACTCACTGTCCAGAGCCTACAAAGCTGCATGACCAAACATGGGCATGCCTTACTTGGTCATGCCTTTTGGAGGGTAACCTTTTTAAAGGTTGCTTTGACCTGGTAGCGCCCACACACACAAGCACACACACAGGCACAAAGACAGGGACAGGGACAGGCACCGACAAAGGCAGGGACACAAACACAGGCACGGGCACAAACACAGAAACAGACACAGGCACAGAAACAGACGCAAACACAGGCACCGGCACAGAAACTGACACAGACACAGGCACAAACACAGAAACACAAACAGAAACAGGCACAGACACAAGCACAGGAAAAGACATAGACACAAACACGGACACAGAAACACAAACACAGAAACACTGGCACAAACACAGGCAGATACAATGGCACTCACACACACACAGACACACAAACGCACAGACACAAACACAGGCACACGCACTAGAACACACACACACACAGGGACGGACACACACACACAAACACAAACACAAACACAAACACAAACACAAACACAAACACAAACACAAACACACACCACAGCCACACCCGCAGCCACACCCACGCACACGCACACACACACACACACACCTACATGCTGATCAGTCACCTTTATGGTGAAGTGAAGTGCCTTGTCGCAGCACATGTAGTCGCTGAGCCACTCCTGTTGCCAAGAGGGCGTCCGGCGGAGGATCCAATTCTTCCGCCACTTGCACACACATCCTTGGGCATGTGTTCTTTGGATGGTGTCCGTGATGAGGGTGCAAAGGGAAACTCCAGCGAACACTTCCGTTTCAAAGGGAAATCAACCAGTCACTGGTGTGGTTTTGGCCCTCATTTAAGTAGCAGCTTGCAGACTCCAAAAACCACAACATAGTCCCCAAAACAGTCAGTGGTTCATAGAGGAGCCTATGCGCCCCCACATCGGTCAAATCATCATGTTTCCCTCAAACTCGAACCATCCCCACAAAGAGTTCCCTGAAAAAAACAAATCACCCACATGTCATCAAATGCCCCGAGCGCTTCCTTGCCGTTGACTATGACCTTCATGTAGACGTGTAGGTCGGTGAACATGGCTGCCAAGGTGAGGGACCAGTGCCTCGCCAGAAGACTGAAGGGCAGGGGAACCAGCAAAAGACGCGATATGGTGGGCGGCTAATGTCCGTGGAATGCATCCGTTGGAGAGAAAACAAGCGAATGTAAGTTGGACAACAAGCAAGAGCTACATGTAGAGGGATGATCTGTCGTGGTTCCTGCGCGACCTGTAGAGACATAGCTCTGGGACAACAATCAGCACACCAACCCGGCATAATTGAAATGAGCCTGAGCAGCACGCATATGAAAGTGGTTGCGCGAGTGTCAAAGACGGGAGCCCATGACCACAGGCTGATCAGCCGGCAAATAATTACCCGAAGAGCGCTCCCCAGCATGTGGGGTTCTCCTCAGTTCAATATCGCTGTGACGCGACAGGCAAGCAAACAAACACGCCAACAAACAAACAAAAAGACAACTAGGACAGTAAAGATACGTCTAGCAGCAAACATGACAGTGCAAAGCGCCTGCTTCGACAATGACGGCAACTTCCGGCATGGGGTGCACATGCACCATTGTGTTTTTGCCGGGTAATCGCATGAAGCATGGGCTCCACAGTGCCTCACGTCATTTCTTCGAACAAGAACACATGGCCAAGGATTCTGAGAGGTGGAACCAAGAGAAAAATGCTTGGGTGAAAAATGCATAGTGGACAGAACTCCCTCAAAAACCGCTGGCATAGAATTGGTGGGCGGATGTCCCAAATCCTCACGCAAAAATATGCCGACAATGTGCAGCAAGGGGGTCCCCATAAATTGAAGTTCACGGCCATGCTATGTCATATGGCCCCCACCCACTTGCAGGCTGTGCAAGTGGGGTCACTGCTAGGCCAAGGACTGATTTGGCACCGCCATCTCGGGTGGAGGGCTCACCTCGTGCGGGGCAAACAAAAATTGACCTTTTGGCGCCCTGACCCTCCGACCGAAGCGGTCTGATTGCCAGCACCGTTGGTCCACAGGCCGCTTCAGGCGAGTGAGCTTGGTGGCAAAGGGGAGTCGGTTTTTAAGGATCATGTTGGCAAAGCGAAGCTGGGTCAAGCCTCCTTTGGCTTCCAGCTTTATGGAGGTCAAAGCGTCGGAATCAAGGGGGTTGAGAAAAGGTGACTTATTTTCTGGGGGTGGCCTTAAGACGATCTAAGAGGATCAAACCACATCAGACCACCAGCCCCAAAAGAAAACGGGGTATGACCGGTATGACCTTTGGCGCTTCAATAATGGTTCATATATTTTGGGTGAACGGGCTGCAGTGACTTGCCCTTCGCTGAATTGGTGGACATACATACACCCGGAGGAAGCGGCTACTTTTCCAAAGATCCCCCAGTTGAACCGAATGAAGATGGAATCACCCCGTGATATCCTCGCATTCGTTTTACTGTTTGTGATTGAAACAGTATACCCTTCCACCACCGAACATCAAAGCGCCCTGGCCCCCTTTCAAAACCACAAATCCGTCAAGAAGTTTGTTGGTACGTGTTACAATACCTGGCTGCGAGCCGGCTCTTGATAGAAGAATGGGGCAGGAGAGCAGGCGGGTTTCCAGAACAGAAGGATCAGTGGGCTAGGCCATAGTGGTCCTCCAGTAGAGAGGTCGGAATAAGGGTACCAACTTTTTTTCTGTAGTCTATTTTAGTAGGGGAACCCTCCCAACCAAAAAAAAGACGAAACGGTGAGAAAGGGCACGACTGAGAAACCTAACGCCTAAACATGGGTCAGAATCCCGTACCCCCAGTGAACATCCCAATCCAACCACTAAAATAGACTACTAAACTGGGTGGTGAATTCACCAACCAAGCAAAACGGGATCCCAAAACGGTGTTGACAACCACAGATCCACATAGCGGTTCAACCCCGGAGGGTTGATGTGCGCAACTCATCCAGCCCGAGGTGCCACCACATCAGCGATCTCCAGGGACCCGAGGCCAGTGGCCCACAGCACCGTGATGTCGGTGCCCTGGCGGAGCCGGAGCTGGGAGCGCAACCACTGGGTTTTCCCCCCACTCCCCGTGCGGATTCTCGGGGAAAAAGGAAGAAAGAAGAGCTGCAGGAGCACAAGGAGCAACAAAGTCTATCAAGTATGGATGATTTCCAAGCTTGGAGACGTCCAAAAAATGCAAGGTTCAGCCTTTTGTCCGCAGCCCAAAGGGCTCAGAGCCAAAAGGTGATCACCTTTTGGGGCAACTAAGAAAGGACCAAGGGGCAACTCAAAGGGAAATCCCCAGATGCAACCACTTCCCCCCCGCGTGGTGCGCCGACAGTTGCAGCCGGTGACCCTAGAGAGAAACTTCCCAAGTGGATTGGCCGAAAAAAGTCCGACCTTTCGTTTTGCTACTGAAATAGTCTTCACAAAAAATATAAGGGCCAAAGAGTGAGAGCCCGTGTTTGGGCTGACCATGTTTGGGGAACTCATCACATCAACAAAGAGTTTAGAGGATGCTACCTGAAGTGGCTTCCCCAGACCGTTTTGGCTGCTCTGCGAGGCGTTGCTTTGGGTTTGTGCCTTTTGAATTCGAAACACATGTGCTCTTTCTTGGTCGGTTTTTAAAGGGAACGTTACATTTAAAAATAAATAAACAAAATTGTCTGGGTGTATGAAAACAAAACTATATTTGTTGAAAGGGATTTTGTCGCGCATTCTTTCAATATATGTCTGCCCGTCTCAAGCTCTCCAACTCGGCGGCGCACGACGCCCCCTTTGTCCGTCTTCATGTGCGCCAACGGCGCGCTTCCTTCGCAGGTCCTTCAGTGGCTGGAACAGGCGAAGGCTTTCAAACGCGTAGCGCATGGGCGTGTTACGGACATCCCTGTGGACACGGTTTCGCAGAAAACCAAAGGCAAGCGAGCATTTCAGGGGCGCTCAAATAAGGACCCACGCACGTAACGAAACACAAATCATAAGAAGGCACGGATGCTTAGGTACTGTCAAGAGAAACCAGCCTGCCGGAATTGGCCCAGAATCAGCTTGTCCAGCAACGAAAGAAACACACACACACACACCCACGCACGCACGCACGCACGCACGCTCGCACGCACGCACGCACGCACGCACGCACGCACGCACACACACACTTGCTTTTAGCGCTTTGGTCTCACAAGAACCTGCGCCAAACAAACGATTAAAAGACTGGAGGCTGCGCGAGACCTGCGGATTCCGGTCCTGTGAGCTTCAGAGAGCGGGCTGGAGAACATCACCTCCCCTCGCGCCATCCGATACTCCCAGAGCCCCTGGCAGACCGCGACGGACCGGTCTGTTCAATCCTCTCCATGGTTTCCGCTTCACACTCTTGCTGCCCCAAGGTCCAAAAGGCCAAATCCATGCAAGTGCGCGTCTGATTGATCACTTACATAGGGGGTGGCTCCCAGTGATCGAAACAAGTTTCACCCTCAGGCATACACGACATTCGAGTGCAACTTTCAGAGGCTTTCCAGTACCGCCAAAACACCACTCTCCCCAAGGAAAATGGAATTAAACATGGCGTCAGGGTAGTATACCCCGGTTCCTCTGGTGTGGTTTGCGGGCTAGCGAGGTCAAAACTCCTGCCTGGCAGTCGCCAGCGCTGTCTTTGATGCTTTGGTGAACTTGGCGATTCATCGCCTGCCATCTCAGCCCAAAGGCCTGGGTCTTAAACACAAGCCCTAAGGCTGCTTTCGCCTGAAAGTAAGATTGTCATGTGACCACAAATTTGGTAAACCCGTGTAAGCTCATGTCAAAACAGGCTCAGAAGAGCACACGCTCGGCGTTGCTTGGGACTCAAATGGATCCTTCTGCAGAACACAGATCGAGCTGCGAAAACAATTGTGCTGTCTATTCAGGGGGAAACGACGAAGGGTTCCGTGTCAACCTTCAATAAGAAAAAAACTAGCAGCAACTTAAGTGTGAAAAAAAAGCGGGCAACATATATCAATCACTTTTTGCCTACTTGACTGCGGGCCCTCAGCACATGCCACTGATAGTAGTCCAACGGGCGTGCCGGGAGGAGCTTGGACAGCGCACCTCAGCAGAATGTGCCACCCAGCAAAACAATTAGACTGTTGGCAGCAACCAATCCGCAAGAACATCAACCATCGGCTTTGACAGGTTGGGGCGGAGGGTGCATTAACCAGGATACCATGATTGCTGTTTTCAGTGTCAGCTGCTGTTGCCCGTGTTTTGAGGTCTTTGCTCGGAGGTGCTGCGAGGCTCATTTGTGTTTTTTGTCGGGGGGTGGCATGCCTTTCCGCCGATTGGTCCTCTCCTCTCCGGCCCTCTTACGAAAATCAAAATGGCATTGGTTCTGGCTGGCTTCGGCCTGCATTTGGTAGATGTGCAACCGTTTGGCCGTCACTGCTCAAGCGGAAACAAACAACCGTTTCGCTCTGCAGTTGTCGGACTTTGAGCTCATACCCATTAAATCATGTCCAAAACCCAGGAATCCTTTTGATTGTTTCAAGGGAAAACGAACGGACACCATTCTTGGGGGTCCGCCATTTTTGGAAACAGCTCAACGGGGATGACCGTAAAAGGGACACGCCGCTTAAACATCGCTGTGAAACTGTGATGATTCATAGCACGTCAGAGTTTGGACACGTCCCCCTGTATCCTCGAATTTGTGCCGAGTTGCCATTCACATCTTCCACAGTTGTGATGGTGGGCGGGCGATGTGGGCCGTGACTGGCGTGCGAAATGAGGGGGTGACCTCTCCAAACCCCTGGATTATATCGGGCTCCCTTTCAAGACGCATCAGGGATCCCCACTTCTTGATACGTTCTTGTAGATGTGCCGCGTTCCTTTTTTCCCCACAAAACAGTTCCAATCCAAACAAAGGCATTTATCTGGCTCCTGTTTGTATCTACTGAACACGGGCTGTGCAAAGGACACTCGGAGCTCATGCAAGCTCCCTTGGTACACTAAGCTCTGGGCTTGGTCTCTCCCGAAACAAAAAAAAAACAACACCTAGGATTTTGTCTTAATCTGATCCATGTGTTTCTGCGAAAAGCAATGTTGTTTTGACCATATTGACCCCTCATCTAACTCACAGAATCCAACAAAACATGTTGCCGGGAAGGCCAGCTAGTGCTTCCAGGCCACAAGTCGTAGGTAGCCACTTTAACCACCAGGAGCGATCTTTCTCCATGAAACTGGTTCCAGTGGAACCAAAGCGCACCTAAAACATGGCGAGAAACGTAGGTGAGCACCTTCAAACACGCGGCTCGCCTGCCCGGAAGCACCTAGATCATGTGGCCGCCAAGTCAAAAAAGGAGAGGACGCAATGGACAAAATTCCCCGGATTTGCCCAAACAAACATCGGGCGACAAATAGGGACATTGGACAAACCAACAAAAACAGGACGTGTTCAAATCATAATCCCATTGAACTGTTGCAAAAATCCTGTGTGACCAACAAACCATTGAACTGCCGTATTCCTGTGTCGCAAATCAAAATCCCGATCTGCCTCTGTGGGCCAAGAACTGTGATCTCTGCAAAAATCTGACATAGTCTGCTGAGCTTTGCCTGTTCCGCAGGACCCTTCCCCTGCGTGTTTAGACCCAGCTGTGATTCCAAATGCACAGGCAGTCTTCAAGTTGCGTGGGATGGACATGGAAGAAATATGATGAAATATGCACAGCACAGCTTGCAGGGACCTTCAGAACCTGACAAGAAAGTCTACACAAAAGCATTAGGCGCATTGCGTTGAAATCCCTGAAACACATGTTAAACATTGTTCCCTGATGAAACCAAACCAAAGTTAAGCAACTACCCTTGGGGTCTGGCCATATTGTAGCGCTCGGAATACCCCGTAGCCACTCTGACCAAGCACACTGGTCGCCTGTATAAAGTGAAGGCCCAAAATGCCATTGTCGCCATTGGTCCGAGACCTCGGAGCCGTCACGGGGTTGCTGACCCGCGCGTAGGCAGTAAACGCGCATCCAAGCAAACATGACAACCAATTGAGGCTGAGAAAGCCGTGATGCCTGATTTGAAAAATCAATCTAGTCGTCAGAATTATTTGATCCAATGGATGAGGTTTCTGAGAATAAGCAAGAAACAAAACAAACGAAAACAAATAAGTAACGAAGCAAACAAGGCAAACAAGACCAAAAAGGCACTCCGCCAATTTAAATCTGGCAAACAACACACAGTGGACAAACTCCTGTTTACCCTCACATACACAAATGGCTATAGCTTTGCATTCAGCACCGTTTCTGTCGAACAGCGGCAACAATTCAATGTGCATCCAAAGGTAAGGTAAGGATTCCAGGTTGGTTCTCTTTCGGAACCGTCCTGACCAGTTCATCCAATATTAATACTGATACATCGCCGCCAAGAAACACACACACACACAGCTGAATCGATACTAATTGCACAACATCCCCACTTTCCCGGTAACCGCGGGAAACAAGCTGGTTGACTTAGGGAAGCCCGCCAAAAGAAATAACATGGACCTGCCAAATGTTTGCGAATCTCAGACCATATAGTGCGCAATACAAACAATGGTACGCAAATATGCAGCATGCAACAATCGATTAATCAATACACCCATTCCTTGTGTCAAATAAACACAAACAACTGGGTGTTGCTGGTTTCGCCAAGTTAAAACCTTCAAAAAGGCGGGGTTCCTTTTTGAGACACAACCAACTGCACATGTTTGGCGGACCCTGCGCGACCGGGGCCGTTTGCTTCAGCTGCACACGGCTGAGCCCGGAGCCCCACACCACGGCGCCCCCGGGAAGTTGCGGCAAACTGCCTGTGCCGCTCCGGTCGCGGTGCGCCGAGTGGAGCAGAGTCAAAGCCCCCTGGACATGTTGGGCACTAGATGGCACAATTCCCCCGTTGGTTGTAGTCATCTCATAAAGACTCACCCAAAGTCAACCGTGCCATCTAATTACTAGTCTAGGTTCACATGGTTTTGTTCAGAGCGTGCCAGTCTGCGGCAAGCGCTTGCTTGCATCATAGCGAGGCTGGAACCAGGCCCAGTGTGTCTGGGGCTGGTCCTTTCGGAAGAAATATTCGCCCAAGAAATCTAGCTCATTCACTGCCACATCCTGAGCCTGATCGTCGCGCGGCGACAGCTCGCGCCGATCCTTCAAGGCATAGTACCTGGACATGCGGATGTACTCGATTCGCTGCCGCCGGTGCTTGATCCGATTCCAGTGCCAGTGTGGCACTTGCACCACGTGGTAGCCCATGCTCTTCACGATGCGCTCCTGCAAACACATTTGCGCTATTTTCTCCGTGGAGTAGGCATAGTATCTATCAAAATGGTTGCATTCATAGATGATCTTGCGATCCCGCTCGACTATGTCGAAGGTGAAGGGACCGCGCTCAGCCATGGCTATGTGACCAATCTTCAGTTTGGTCAGGGCGTGGCTGAGCTTTTGCACAAACAAGACCATATGTTTCGGCTCCTCGACTGGCCGCTCCATTCGATGAGCCTTGCGGAACAGTTGCTGCACATCTTTGGGCAGCTCGACGTACGTCTCGCGGTGCAAATAGCGCAGTGCGCTGCGCAGCAGCAGTATACGGCGGGTGAGCCCCGGTCTCGGTTGCAGCTTGGGAGCTGCGCCCTTCAGAAGCTCGATGACCTGCGGCAGGCCTTCCGCATCGCGTTTTGCCAAGAACATCACGTGGCAAAGCTTCAGGGCCGCTTCCGGCGAGCCCTTGGACATGACATGCTTCTCTAGGGCCTGCCACATCTCCTCGTCCAGCTCGCCGTGCGGGGGAGCCAGTCGCAAAGAAGCATGAGAGTGAAGCAAACTCAGAGCCTGCTCTGGTGACAAGGCCTCGACTCCTCCACGGCGCAAGTCTTCAGCGATGCGGCCGAAGACTTCTTCATGGCGAAAGCGCTGGGCGGCGAACACCCGGGCGACTTCTGCAGCTTGCGATGAGAAGCCCTGATCTGACGATCTCAGAAGCCCCTGCCCGATGGAGGCAAAGAGCGGAGGGTTCAGCACGCCCAGGTTCGAGAACGTGGACGCCACCCGCAGTAGGTCCTCTTTGGGCGCCTCGGCCATGTCCGGAGCAATCCGCTCCGCCAGCTGCGCGAAGCTGGGGAAGTCGCGCCTGGACTGCACAGACAAAGACTGCACAGACTGGAGGAAGTCCTGGAGGTTCAAAAGGACGCGTGAGCGAGCCATGGCCTTTGCTGCCACCTTTGCAGCTCCTGCAAATTCAGCTTGAACCCTCAGACCATGGCTGCGGGCATGGATGGTTTTAGTCATGTGTTCATGCAAAAACTGTACAGCAGCGCAATGCAACATCGGCCTTTCAAAACATTCCCGCCTTGCTGGAACCCGGGCAACACTGAGTCCCAAGCTATGCTTTGGCAGGTGCTTTGGCCGCGTCACGGACTTGGCATAGGAAAGCAGGCTGTACCTTACTATAGCGTGCAGCAAGAGCATCTGAGCAATCTGCAAATATGGCAACCCAGTAAGGTCATTGTGGGTATGCTCATCCAGTTCTGACTCTGTAGGAATTCCTTGTCCTACCAAACACACACTCATTTTAGTAGTTCTTAGGTCAATCAAATGTCGTTTTGCAATATCTTCCTCCAATGGACAGGCCCCTGCTTTGATGCCTCCCTTTTCCCAAGTGAGTTTGTGCGCGATCGCTCGCGCCGAACTCCGACGGCCAGCCCAAAAGGCGCGATCCCTCCGATCAGACGCTACCTGCGCCAGGTGTCGAGATGAATTACCTGGGGCCTGAAAAGCCAAAAGGCAACCGGTAGCTTCCGTCCGGTTCCAAACAAGTCTCAGGTTCGATCTTCTTAATTGAGGATGTATTGCTTTGACAAACAACACATTGGACGCTTCAGGCACCTGGAAGCTTCTGCCATACTATGTCTGCAGACTTTGTCTGACTAATTGCATCATGGCCAGTTTTCTGGCCTTTATGCCATCTCAATGTTGACCCACTGCTGCCCTTTCGTCCTCTGTTCCAGAGGACAAATGCGCAGTGGCTCTCAGACTGGGCTGGAATGCTGATCGGCAAATCGAGACATTTCCTTAGTCATTTGTAAGGGCAAATGAGAGCAACACCATGCGATTGCGCTGTGCTAAGGGTTCCGGTGGTCCACTCGATGCACCGGGAAGCATCGTAAGGTACCCCCTCAACAACTATCCCAAGACTCTAGTAACCGCAATGCAATCAGACCCTTCGATATGTGGAGCATAACTATAGATACACATACACATACCGAACTTGACATATCTGAATGCAACCTATCAACAAGTGCCAAAACTCCACCTCCAGCAGACTGCTGACGCAAACATGTTGTGTCAAGGCCCAAGAACCCCAACCCAAGAATCGCGGTGAACAGCACACGGCTGTTGGTCTATGGCCTACATCCACCTACAACTTCCGCATGGGGACCGATAGGAGTCACCAGAGCTGCCTGCCATCTCTGGCGCTTGGCTGAGTCCCTACTTGTTTGGCTCATATAAGTCTTTCAAATGAGACTGAGCAACTTGTATTCATCTGATCTGTGCGCAGTCCAAGCAGCGACAAGTTTCTTCCAACAACGCTGGCAGAGCGGTAAGCTACAGACCTCAACATCCCAATATGCTTGCTTGGTTGACTAGTGCCAGTGTTTGGCAAACACGAGGGACTGGTGGGGGAGGGTCCAACCGACGCCCATTTGCAGGCGAAGCTCAGTCAAAGCATCTGCCGCTGGCTGCCAAACGTCTTGAAAAAGGACTGGAGCATGAACACCGCCTGAGGACAGCACACCTCTCCGACTGCCCAACTGCAAACAGCGATCCGTCGGGTAGAACGAGGGACACGACTGTGTTGCCAACAGCGCTGGCCAGGGATCATTCAATGTTGACATATGACCCAACTTGAGCCTGCGGGAGCTACGCTATCGCCAGAACTCGATCGATTTTGGCGTCAAACACAGAGAAAGAGGTGCGACCCCTTCCGGCCTTCCACCCCCAGCGATGTGATCGGCGCTCCCTTGGATTGCCAGACGGAGCCTCATGTCGCCAAGGGGATTCTGCAAGCTGAAAAGGCGCCACAGTTGGGTCAGGTACACTCTTCCCACTCGAACTGGCCAGGCTTGCCAACCGAGAAACTAAAGAAACAACAAACTAAAAGCACATGCCTTAGATTCTCAACTGCCAACCAAAACCTGGAAACCGAACAGTCAAGAGATTGATTTGCTCAGGCAAGTGAGGTAAGGCACAAATGCCACTAGAGCCATCTGAGCAAAGTGTATGCGCTTCTTCACATCCCATTCTGGTGTTGATATGACTTCAATGGCTTCAAACATCCTGTTGACATCCCACAATTCCGTTTCTTCTAGTCTTCCAACCACAAAAGGGACAGTTGAACTCAACATGAATCTCCAGAATCAAAAGCCCCCGCGCCCACAACTCCATTTTCAAAGGCTTTACACACTTCAGGATCATTTTAGCCCGAGGCAGAACCTCTCGGACTTGCTTGGGACAACAACCTCGAATCTTAGGGTCGCCATTCGGTCCCTCAGCAGTCTCAAAACTTGCTGAGCCTACCGAGCTGCAAAATTCGGTGATCTGACCTCGCAGCAGCTCGTCCTGCGTTGTTCCAGCTGGAAGGCAAGCGTTCGACCTACACAGCTACTAATATGTATATATGCATGCACATATATATATATATATATATTGTAGTTTCGCATGAGCTATCAAAAGTATGTCGTTTGCCAATGAGCATGCCCTCCCTCGATCGTGGACTGAAATGTGTGACCCTACACGGGGCAGTGCCTTCAGTTGCCATCTGTCTTACTTTTTGATGGGCCACCTTTGGCGGGAAAAGCAGAAAAGGCGCCGATTGTGTTGAATAGGGATTTGCCAACAGGCGTCTTATATAGTTCTGTTTGACGCAATTGTACCTCTTCAAATTCGGCTTCCGATTGTTGAGACATTGCCCTGAGTCATCCTCAACACTTGCTTTCCAGCAGGAGTCTACCCATAAAGAATCAAAGGGCTTCTGGCACACCTGTTTAGAATCCGGATTGGGCTCCTAACCTTCTTGCTGGCTTCCAGATACCACTACAGTAGCAAACCAGGGTTTCTTACATCCTCAACATAACTCCGCCTTACCATGGCTTGCCTGGAAGAACTGGGTGGACAACCCAAAGGTGCCCTCCGGACAAAATTACCATAATTCAACTACCTAGAATAACAACTCCCCAATTGAGAAAAACATATAATCGGTGGAAGCACACTCCGCAACCTTGTGCGAGATCGAGACATCCGTCGCCCATAGCCACATCTATACCTAACCATACTCATGGAATGGTTGTGGGTGGGTTTAGGGTAGGTTTATGTTTGCTCAGGGTAGGTTTAGGGTAGGTGCCCCCGACCTTTGCTGTCCTCCCCGTAAACCACCAGGATGGGCGGCAGGTTGTCCAGCGACCCCGGCGCGTGCATCGGGGAGCAGCACCAGTCGTCGTGCTCGCTGCCGCCGCGCGCCTTCTCAGCGCACCAAGCCACCAGCGGACCCGGCCTATCGAAAGGACTGGGCCTATTTCTATATGGCGGTGGGTTAAAAATAGGTACTCAAAATGGAACCCTGGTAAATGGAAACAAGGACTAAAACATGCGGTCCCCTGGCGGTTTAATTTTGACCCACACCCATATGGCCCTTTTGCCCTGCAGGACGCTAAGCCATGCATGTTGATCCATGACATAAGCCCTCAAGGCATCAACTATCAAATCTAGTGGAAGGCGGTTTTGACTGACGCAGTGTTTGAATTTTATCTTGCAGACGATCAAACCAAGTCAATGTGTCTGGTAGTGGGAACACCTCCGTTTTGTCCAAGAGCTTGCGGGAGCCAAGGACACGCTGAAACTAGGCAATCCAAGTCCATACCTGGAGCTAAGAGTCACCAAACTGGCTCCTCTACCTGCCTTTTGCATGAACATGAGAAACCCTGGTGCCTATTGTAGTGGTGACTGGAAGTATTGGGCGATGTGTATATATATATATATATATATCATATCAAACTATATGTGTATATATATATATTACATATATGTACATATACACATTATATTCTACAATATACAATATGGGTACCCGTATGGGCACCTGTATGGGCACTCGTATGGGTACCCGTATGGGTACCCGTATGGGTACCCGTATGGGTACCCAACTATATATATATATATATACATAGTACAATTGTAGCCCAAGGCACAAGAAGTCGCTGGGCTCATTCGCCATGGTGGCATGCCGCATGCCGTTTTCCCCGAGGTCCGTCCAGGGGGAGATGAGAACGCAGAACCGCGGCATGGGCAGATCCGTCTCTCCTCGGATTCGGTTTCTCAAACCCAAAGAACATGGGAAAATAAGATTAAATTCAGACCTTGACTGGGTCAAACCGGAACAAACGGAAGGTCACAAGGTCAGCTTGCGAGTGAGAGATCCGCAACTAAAGGACCTACACCATGATGAGCCCTAATGGATCTATCTACGCCCCCTCGTTTTCAGTGGTTTTAGAGAGAAACCCAAAGGAAACCAACCATTTTGCGGGGCATAGCCTCAGAAAGAAAGGCGCCCTCAGCCCCCGAAATGTTAACCCCGGATTAATAAACCCCTGGTTGAAAACATTGGGGGGGTGTCCCCTTTTAGTGGGGATTCAGACCACTTTTGGAGGGAACACCCCCCTAATACTGTGGATGGACGAAATCCTGCACCACTTTGAAATTATGGGAAACCATTGTTTGTTGCTATTTTCAGGAGAATCAAACCATTCCAGGGTATCTTAGGTGGTGCCTAAGAGGATTTCGTCCATCCACAGAAGTGGGACGGGCACCTACATCTAATCTAACAATCACCAATCTACATGGGACAGGTCCCTAGATCTCAGAGACCCATTTCATGCCCCAATCAACATTACGTGGGTCAACATTACGTGGCAAACCGATCCGCCGGGGCGCTAAGCTTCGCCAGCAGCGCGGCGGCGATGCCCCCGCCCGCGGAGTCCCCGGCGAGGACCAGGTCGGCGTCCGGGTGACGCGCCAAAAGGTGGCGGTACACCTCAAGTGCAAAGCCTTGTGTCCGGTATCAACGTGTTTTTTCACCAAAAACCGGAAATCAAGATGCATTTTTGGTTGGGGTTGCTTACCCAAAAACAGGAAATCAAGATGCATTTTTTGGTTGGGGTTGCTTTTGTTGCTAAACTTGCTTTGCAGGGTTTCGATTGTGGCTCACATGGGGTGGGTGATGGCGCGCAGGCGGTGGGCTGGAGTGTGGTGCGTGGGTGTGTGATGTGCAGGAATATGGAAAATTGTTGGTACTGACATTTGATTAGAACCGAATTAAAAGGACCGTCTTGCCTGGGGTGCAGTGGAGAGTTGTGGACGTGTTTGCCCCAAAAGTTCAACTTGTTGCCAGTCAGAGGACAACATAACATCAACCAAATAGCAGCAAGCCTGCAGTGGACTAAAGGTTACAAATTATGGCAATGCACAGCCAGTTACCATGGACCCAAATGCAAAGGCAAGCCTGTACTTAAGGATGTTCTTCTTCCAGTGGTTTAAACATATCTGACCAAGCAGTTGGCCCCGCAGGGCCGCCCCAATGCCTTCCCAGTAAAAAAAAACTGCACGCCCCGCCTCCAAAACATCCTCCATGGGACCTGCAAGTCTCCGACGGACTCCAAGGCTTGCTGGGGTGCTTTCAGTTGGTTAAGGGGAAACCAACAGGACACCAACCATAGGTGTCCTTTTAGGGCAAATAGATGGCCCTGGTAGATGAGTAAACCACCAGATGAACCAGCGCCATCTATTTTTCCACCAAAACAACCAAAAAGGACACCTATGACGGCAACCATTGCAAGGAATCACCTACCTTAGGAACCAGCCATCTCGGAAATCCAGTGTTTAACACATCCAGGCTTAGGTGCTCCCTTTTGTCCTCATGAATTGGGCAGCACCCAAAACCAATCTTTTGTTTGAACTAAAATACTTCGTGGATGTTTACCGAGGTCCTGCTAGTATAACCCCCACCACATCAGGGAGAGCCACTCAGCTTGGGCTGTTGAGCCTCTCTGATGAAGGTTCCCCCATTCACTCACAGAAAGGGGGTTCCTTTTGTTCAACAAAGATCAAAACGGCCAAGCATCCTATCTGCAGGAAACGTTGAAGTTGCCTCGCCAAAAATGATGTACTCTCCCAGCAACAAACATGGAACCTGACTCACGGTGAATAGAAGATCCTTTGCCTCTTGAGTGTCCCTCTGTCAGTTGGCGGGAGGGTAGATCTAATGATCAAAACCCACATTTGTTAAAGTTCAACCGAGAAAAAACAACTTCCAGCAGTGATACATTCCTTTAAAACCAACAGGTGAAATAACAAAGCAACATTTTAAGCAACTGGAAGCAATAGGGGAGATACTGCAGCCCTGTCCCATCCCGCCTGGGATGGGATGCTCAGGCGGACGTCGATACTCCGGCACACACATGGGCGCCTGTAGGATTTTGTTTCGCGCCCCGTGGGAACTGGAAACGGGCGATTCCTGAATGACTCCTGCGAATAAACGTGGAACCTCAAAAGAACAACATCGGTTCCAGAGATATCTCCTTGGAACCCCGTTTTGGGGCGCCATGTTCAGCTGCAGTCGAGTCGCAATTGAACCCCTCAACATGTTTCTTTGCTTGCTCCATGCTTGCCTCATCCAAAGCAAGGCCAAAACTACGTCGAACTTGGCCCTTAACTCACACATGTACGCTTAGAATCTGGTTCAACTTCAGTGAAGCCGATATTCAACATAAGGTCAATAGTCTCAGAAACAAGCCACACGTCTACCTGTCTGTTCACAACTGAATCTGCCGGAGGCTTCGAGGCTTTGGCACGAACTAGTCTCCAAATCGGACACCCCAAAATTGGATTAGGTTCCCTTTAGGTGTCCTTCAAAAGAAACCCAAAGCGGTCCCTCACAAGCAAACACACCTCCCCTACATACACAGCCGGTTAATGGATTATCACGCCTGCAAAGCCGCTGCGACATTGAAGGTGACGATTCGCAGTGAGGCGGGCGTGCACAACAAGTAGGCACCACCATGCAGATACAGCACAACCCGACGATTAGGTTGCATCTTTGGAGTTCTTGGAATACTGGATGGCCACAACTTTGCAAAGCCAGCACCGCAGCATGCAAAGCTGGTCAGCGCAGACTCATCCCCGGTTCGAGGAAGCACCCATTCCAGTTTCAGCTGAACCTCGGCCGCTCGTGCAGCCGTTTGAGCCAGCGTCCAAACCCTAACTGATGTCTTCCCGGAAGCTAGGCGAAAGTGGGCTTTTGCCAATCACATTCTCAAGGTCATCCTGATGTGGCTGTGGTTCGTCGTAGCTGAGCAATACTAGCGACGTCCATCTTGACCGTGGAACCACCATGAGTTTTATTGGAACCTACCATCCCATATGGTTCGTAGACGTAAAAACCGGAAGGGAACGCAGAAGTGTTTGCTTTTAGTGGAAACATGGGATATGGCTGCCAGCTGGCTCCCAGACCGCCAGTACTTGGAGACCGCTTGAGCCGGCCCGCTTGAAGGTTCTCTCTGTCGACCTCTGGCGCCTTCACCAATCACAACCACACGACACCACGAGTTCTAGCCGCAAGAAAACAAACAGCACCGGCCAAAAGGATGTTTTGCGCAAGAGCGTTAAATGTCGGGCTTCCTGTAAAGGTTGTTCCCCGTAAGAGTGAATCTGCGACTAAATGAGTTTCCTGAGTTCGGAATTGTAAAAAGCTCTTCTCCCTGGGTCGGCCAAATCTGAGCCCGTGTGTTCATGAACAGGTTCATACATATATATATATATATATTCAATTTAAGGGGTGAGGCTGAGCTTGGGCCGTAGGCCCTTCTGAACGGCTTATAGGTTAGATCTGGGGATCCTTGGGTTTAAAAGATGGCAACAGACCATCAAATGCTTTGCCTATAAACAGTTTGTCAAAACCAAGCAGGAAACTGTACAAACTGGGGGTGTCCAAAAGACTGTTTGGGGGGTTTTCTCTGCTTTTCTTTTTTTGAAGGGCATCCCCAAGTCAGAGCCAGCTCGTCTAGTGCTAAGTGCTTAGCTTAGACCTCCGATCCTGGAACCGATCTAGCAATGCAAAGTGCTCTGCCGGGGGGAAGGGGGTCATATCAAAAAGGGTCCAACACTAGCCACTGATGAAACCCCTCCAGCCATCTGCAAGTGTCGTTCTCTTATAAGGGACCCTATTTGGCGCTTGAAAGCCAACGGGATAAGAGCCCTTTGCTTCAGGTCTGCCAGGGCGCATCTTTGCCGTCGCCGCCTTTGATGGTCACAAGATCCGGCACTTGCTTCACGTCCCAGCGCACCAGGGCTGTGGGAACCCCGAGGTCGCAAAAGGTCCGCAGGAAGGACAAGGAGAAAGGAGCTTGCCGCGCACTCTGGCGCATTAGGCTCACCAGTAACCTGAAGCTGTGGATCCCTGAAGCCTTCTTGGATCCTTCTGCATGCGACATGGTCCTTTCAAACGGTTTCTGGTTCACGAGTGTGGCATACCTCCCAGGATCTACTTATCATGGGGCCAAGCAGGTTTCCAAAAGGCTAGCGCAACAGGGCATCCCAAACCTAATGGGCATCTTGGTAAGTCCACATGGCTGTGGGTCAAAAACTAGGTGCCCAAAATGGAACCCTGGTAAATGGACACATGGACTCAAATCTGCGGTCCTCTGGTGGTTCAGTTTTGACCCATACCCACATGTGACATTGCAAAAAAACAACAAAAACAAGTGGTTCTATGATGCATGGTGTCCCGACTCACCGGGCCCTAGCGAGATCATGATGTCTCCTTGTGCAAGAGTATACCTCCAAAAAGTGAACATGTGAAGAAGCCAATCAATCGTCGGCTGGAAGCATTCGCCAGATCAGCCAATTAGTGGACATCATGCTTCATCCCCCATTTCAGTGTAAACAACAGGTAGCACATAGACCTTGATGTTGTGCTGCGATACGCGGTTTGATCCCTAGTTCATTCTGAAATCAATAGCCTTGGTGATCGCCAACATGAGCCGTCTACCTTTTGCTGAAAGACATACCTTGCTTGATCATTCTAATGCTACAGGACAACGGCTTTTTCAAGTGTGCGACCAAGCTCATTGCATATGCTGCCTTCCCTGCTCCTGGCTTCTGGTGACTCGGTGTGACTTGAGGGTGCCAGCCTTTGTTCTTATTCTGTATACTCACGCGACGATTGCCTGGGTGTCCTTGGGACAACATGCTAACACTGTTGAATGACAAGGGCCAACACAGAACACCTTCTGTAGGTGGACGGAATCCTGCACCACTTTGAAACCATGGGAAACCCTTGTTTGTTGGCATGTTTCTTAGGTGGTGCAGGATTTCGTCGCAAACTACCAACAAGTATTATCGGTGCCTCATGGTTTGACTTACGGCTCCTGTACTAGCCAGCCAGATGGCGCCATTTGTTGTTGCTGTTTTCAGGCTTCATGGGAAGTCCTGAGCAAGTTCGTCCAAGCCCTTGACAAGGGTCACGACAACGCGCAAAGGTAGAACCCGTCCAAAAGCCGCAAACCTTCTGGCGACTAGAGCATAGTTATCAACCGTTGTTTGTGCATACCAGCACCGTTGCGTTCGCCTGCATTCACCCTCGCCACAATCTCAACAACCATAAAACACAACAAGAGGAAGTGTCTGGCTAATGTCAAGCACTCATCCCCAAGCCCTCCTTTCGAACGGTCTACTCCCCCTGCAGATTAAGATAGAATCCCCCCACCCACAGTATGGACACTTGTCAGCCCACTTCAGATGAGCAAGCACTTGTCTGATGTGCCAGGCGCGCCGGCCTATATGCGCGGATCTTGGTAAAGGTTTTCTCGCTGCACAGTGCATCAGGGCTGCCAAGAACATCTATCAGTGGCATGGCAGCGCAGCGGCGCTTCCGGGGCGTTGATGCGACGGCTAGATACGGCAGCAGCAGGGCAAGTCTCCTTTCGCAAATCTACAAATTCCAACACCATCTCCGACAGAGATTGTGTGCAGACTCATTTGCGTGAAAAAAATATGACTACGAAAACGTATACCTGAAGTGAAGGACCTCAAGAAAGGAATCGTAACATGGGCGAGGTCGCAAAACCTCCTGATACCTCCTGTGAGGTCGCTACAACTCCAGCAAAATAGTCTTCCAGCAAAACTTCATGTTGGCAGGTAGAGAAGTGCGCTGGGGCGCAGGCATTCCGACACCTTGGCCAAAGTGCAGAAATGGGACATGGTTTGCAAGAACCCTAGCAAAGCCCCAACTACAAGCGCCCCACAAAGGGAAAGTCTATTGTGGAAACGCTCTTCCCCCCTTCAACAGATTGCCAAGGAAAAGGGAGAGCAGGATCTTGCTTTTCTTCTTCACTTCTAAACGGGCCATGCTAGCCCCAAACAACAGTCTTTGCCCATGCGCAGTGGCGCCGGACCGAAACTTCCGGGGCCTGGACCGAGACAAAGAATCGCTACCTCAGGTCATCGGATCCGCGCGATGCGAAATCCATGCCGGCAGCTTGGATGAATGACCCTCGATCCCTTGCTGGTCCCAGTCCCAAGCGGCAAAGGTGGAAAGTTCGCCTCCGAAACAATATGTCTCATGCAGAAGGAAGATGTGTGCAACGGCTCCGGACAGTAAGACAGATCACGTCATTGGGTACACTGCTTCAAACTGCATGAGTAACACTCCGGCATGAGGCATTTGAGCAACCAGAACCCGATCTCAAAGGTACTACGCTCAGCAGTTGATGAGCCGAAATCAAAATTCATGGTTGCTAATGGACAGTCAAAGCCTCGGCACCAGATGTCGCTTCCAGCTAGCTGGTTGAGCGGTAGTTGGTTCTACCAACGATAGCATAACCACAGCTAAAATGGCCCGTGATTGCTATCACTGGTACTATATACAGATATATATATATATATAGGAAAATATGTTTGTATGTACATTGACAGAAAGAGGGTGTGGTTTCCCATTGATTGAAGACCCCCAAGCCCAGAGGTATATCCATAAGGCTATGTCCATGTGCATGCAAAATCGCCAACTGGCCCATGCCGCCAAAGCTGCGATGCCCGTTGGAGTCTCTGGAAATGTGGCACACACTTCCGTCACGGCCTACAGCGTTGAAATCACAAGTGAGCGGATTGCCACATGGCCATGGGTCAAAAACCCGTACCCCCACTGAACATCCCAATCCCCACTGAAATAGACTAAAATGGGTGGTGCACCCACCCCAAAATGGTACCATTGGTGTTGACCCACGGCCACACACATGCTTGGAGAGAAGTTTGGCATACCTCCAAGAGAACAGGAACCCCTGTCAGGTGCTATGAGGGCGGCCTTAAAAGGACAACCTTGGGGCACAAAGATTCAAATCCTCTGGCCAAAGGAGCAAAAAAAAACAGCTCGCACGTTTTGTCCTTATCTTACCCTACCAACTGAACCTGCACAGGGTTTATTCCAAAAATGACTTCTGGTGGGCTCCACGTTAGTTTGCCAATCAGTGCAATGTGCGCCTTGTTGCGGGCAGTGACCATGTAGTAGACCTTGGTGAGCGCCCGCTGGTGCCCAACCCAAATCACAGCTGGTTTGGCTGATAGACTGGTCTTTAAGGCAACTCAAGCAAACTGCACGCATAGCATGGATGCAATTTGATGCGCCTCTCACCTCGGTTGCCCAAAGGACAAGGGCTGGGGCCCTGACGCCGGGGATTTATGGTTCAATAAAGGCAAGAATCAAAGGGTCAAAAGGTCGGCTTTGGACTGACTGGACAAATGCCAAATGCGCGCAGCCTCAGAAGCCAGCCAAGCAAAGGGACGCCGACCATATGTGGCACAGGACCTCAGCTGCGCATGTTTGCCGAATGCTTTGAATGGGACGGCGCCTGTCAATTCAATTAAGCAGGGATGTGGCCATGGGTCAAAAGCCCGTACCCCCAGTGAACATCCCAATCCCCACTAAAATAGACTAAACTGGGTGGTGCACCTACCCCGAAATGGTACCATTGGTTTTGACCCACGGCCATGTACTAGTCTGGGGTCAGCAGTACGTTGCCCGCAGCAGTGTCCAGGCAACTGGCCGTGCGCGGAAGCCCCTCCCCGCCGTGCGCAGGGGTGACACAGCAGCATTTACAGCAACTGGTTGGGCGAAAGGTGACAAGAACCGATTGAGAAAGAAACCAGGCTGGCAACGTTAGTAGGTTAGCTGAAAGAAACAAGTCAAGAACCAGGATGATTTATCTTCACCAATTCAGCCCCGCCTAGTTGGAGCTGAGAAGGTAGGACAGGCCCTCTTGCAACCAGTGATAGCGGAAAAGGATGCCCAGCGGCAAAAATGTCGATCTCAAAACAAAGATTCCATGCAAGTGGGATAATCCCAATAAAAGGGTTGCAATTCGACCCGCATGGCGAAAAGCGCTTCCAGGAAACGTGCTGATGTGGAAGGTTCCCTTTGGGGCTCTACCACCCCCCTTCCATACATTTCTCACGCGCACACCTTCAATAATTCACTCACCCAAACAAGCGATTGTGAAAGACTTCACCATCGCTCAGGCTCACGCCCCAGTGCGAGGTCTTTCTTTGGCCCACATTGGGGAATTCTCGTGTATGAAAGTCAACCCGCATTAATCATTGATATTGAAGTTTTCCCCAACAAGTGAAGGATTCCGTCTAAAATGGGACACCCTCCCCTTTGCTAGTCAATCAGGGTGTTTTGCTGATCCAGGTTAAACTTAGCACCCAAAATCAACGGCTAAGGCTTCAGCCCAAGGCCGTACGATTGGCTCCAAATACCGCGCCCAGCGAACCAAGGAACTGGCAGACGGGCGGGCGGCGACGCACGGCTAGCGTGCGTGTTGACGTGGTTTTGCCCTAGAACCGAGTGCCCTCAACAAAAGGACTACGATTCTTGTTCCCTGCTGTTCACGGAACCAGGCAAAGGCGATAGTCAGGTAATTGATCCGAGAAAGGCCTTGTTTCCAGCTACTGGCACAACCTTGCACACGGCACACGGTTCTCTGATGCCTCTGGGGAAGGGCCTTCCCAATGACTAAAACTTTGATTGTCCCCGATGAGCGACCCGAGAGGAGCCAAAGAGTAAACAGCTTGGGTCTCAGATTGCATGCGCAAATCGATTCTTCTTGGCCCCCAGAAACGGAACGTGGCGCTTGTTCCGAAAACCCAGTGCCACTCCAATGCATAATCCAGATGCCGAAGACTTTCAAGCACAACCCTTCAGCCTAGCGAAAGCCTCGGCTTCAAAACATCGATGCAAAAGGAGTCCCTGTTTTGGATCTGAGATTCTTTTAAAGGTTTCTTGGGGAGTATAACATTGACATGTATCTTGGGATGCGCCTGTCTGCTGAGGGTGCGGGGAAGGCCCTTGGGGGGGTTATTTACAGGTGCTATATGTGAATGGGAAAAACCGGCTGGTTTAGAAACCTACCCGGGAAACCCTATACCGTGGAACCAAGCCGCGCAGGAACCGAGCCGAAGAAGGAGCCGAACCGTCTGAGTTGAAACTGCGAACCGAACCGAACTCAGAGCACTTGGAGGGGAACGTCCAGTGCATGGCCATCCCTTCGCTCAAAGAAATAGCGTGGAAACCAGCTAATGGATGGAAGTGTCCGAAGCAGAATTAGACAGTGGAAGTTTTGCTTAAAAAACAGATACACATGTTTGTTAATCACTTTATCTTAGTCCGCCCAACGTTTGTTCCAGATCCTTTTCGTGGGCCACAAAATGTTTTTCTGGAGGCCATGGACGCAGGCTTCTGCGACCCGTTGCGAAACACGCGCCCCCAATTTTGACCCACTCAACGCCGTCCCTTTGCGCTGCGCCTGGTCGAGCATAGGAGACCCTTGCCCTAATGTGGAAGCCACACGGGCACCCAGGGTGGGGCGCATGTCGTGGAGACCCGACACGCCATTCGAATGGCCCACTGCCCTAGGCGCAATCTTCTTCCTACTCCGCCATCTTGCGCTCGCGGGTGCTCCGAGCAGCCTGCAACTCCCCCACACTTTCTCGCGGGCATAGAGCAAAGCAGCCGCAACGCAACTCCAAACCCAGCGTCGGAAATTTGCTGTCCGTCCGCAGCCTGTCACTCTTTTTGGGCTGCCCCTTGACAATTCTTTGACAAAATTTGCAAGTGGCTGGCTCAATGGACCTTCGCTCTCCCTCAGATTGAACTACACAGCGTCAGCAGCGGCCTCCTCTGCGCCCATGATCTTGCACAAACATCTCAGCGCGACCTTCTTGCTGCAAGTGTGTTGGACCTCATTCATGGAAGAGCGGCAAGTCCGTGGCTCTCTGCCCCTCCCAAAACCGTGTAGCGCGCCGCGTCCCAGGTTGCTTTTTGCTCCCAGTGAGGTAACGGAACCCTTGCGAACTGCTTAAGTCAAAAGTTAATGCCTTGCGTAGGTCGCATGGCGATCGCAAGGCGTTTGATGTCATGCAGCTCAGCCTGGCTGATGCGACCTGCGCTCTTACATGTTCGCAACCTTTGCTGCGCCCGCTCCACCGGAATCGGTGTGGAACCTCTGCAACTCTCGAGACATGGCTTAGACCCAGCCCTGACGTGGAAAATGGCCCCGACATGTGGAGACGCCTGCTTCTTTAATCTGAACAGTCCTGCGTGGAGTTTGATGGAGGATCCCACCTACGTGCCTACGTGGAGAGCAAGCCCTACGTATCTGGCCAACACTCCTTTGCGACCGCTTTCGTAGCTGGCCAACACTCCTTTGCGAGGCAAACATGCGCTTTTCATAGCCAAGCATCCAACTCTCGATTGTCGGCCTCCACAGCCATGCTGCGCACAGCCTTGCTCACCCAACTTGACACTCCACAGCGCCCTTTTGCCTGAACACTGCATGGTTTTCGTATCTCGCATCGCTTCTTGCCATGAAGGATTGCCAGGTACCGGTTCGTGGCCAGCGGAAACCTGGACTTCATGTCGGGCAAGAATCAAGTCGAAGCCCCGGCGCTCGCCTCGGTCGAGTGGTCCATACAGGTGCATCACATGGCGAGCGTTGGCGAAAGCCGGGACGCGTAGAGCAGCCAGCTTCCTTCAGGCCAACTTCCTGTTCGTAGCCTTTGCCGGACATGTCCTGGACGGACATCGCACATCTGACAAAGGTGGCCCGACATTGACCAGCCATGGAAGTGCCCTGCGGACCAAACTCCGGTGTTGCGCCCTGACAACATGGGAGCCAGCTTTGGCCCTCCAGCGACACAAGCCAAATGAACATGGAGATCTCCGCATAAGCCTTGGGGAGAACCGCTGCCTATACAAGCGTGAGAACCCCCAGTTGGAGACCCTTACTGCATGGGTTTTTTGATCACGAACCGTACGGACGGCAGTTAACCGGTCATGAATCGAACCGAACCAACACGTAATAGCCAAAACATGAAGCTAGCCGAACCTAACCGAACCGTCACCACCCTCGGAAAAAATGGGAAACAAAAGGGGAACTAGAAGGGCCGAATTATATTAACGGGGGCATGGGGTACGTTAAAGCCACATTAAATCATGACCATAAGATTCAAAACAAACAAAGTGTGCTAGCATTTAGCTCCTCAGCTCCTTATATCTTGGTCAGCGTTCAACCCTAAACCTAGGATTCAATTCGATTCTACCAGTATTCTACCATCATTTGAGTCCCTGGCAAGGATGTAAGATGGTGGCAAACGCTGACCCAAAGATTAGAATCCGATGCTTGAAGGCTTAAATTTTCTCTCTCTCTCTCTCTCTCTGATCCGCAGCTGCCTCTTCTCGTTGTCGTTGACCATGCGGATGGCGAAGAGTGCGAGCCATAGCGCCGGCAACAGGACCTTGCGCGGCCAACCAGCTTCGCCTCTTTGGATTACTCCTGGACATTTTTTCCGAAAATCGGGAACCGAAAAGGAAGAAGGAACCGCTCAGGCTTTGGGTCTCATTCCGGACAAACCTGCGTGGACCCCGAAAAAAGGGCTCCCTTGTTCGCTCAATCTCTTTACTGGGACTTGATTGGTCCCGCTCATGAGGAGCTTCACTTCTAAGGAAAAAAAGTGACGAATCCCTCGTGTTGCTGAACCTTTGAAGAATCCTCCGCTCCAAATTCACACGGTTGGGTGTTATGTTGATTTGCTGGGGAGCAACCCATCCACATGAAGAAGCCGAGTGCCGAGCCATGGTTGCAATGGCGAAGAGCATCAGGAACCTGACGAATGAAAGCAAAGCCAACCCTTGTCAGGGTTCCTTTGCGGGGACACCACCTTAAAATCACCCATTTGCGAGGCTCCATATCTCGAGAGACAGTCCCAAACAGGGTTGTGGGAAATGACCACTTCCGCGATACAACAAAAAGAGGGTCCCAAGACTAACCTCCCATATAGAGGGGGGTAGAATCCATTGCATCACAGACAGAAGTGGGGATAAACCCCGAGTGATCCCACCACCCTGGTCTTAAATTTTAAATGGACGTCCGTGTTGCTTTCTGAACCAAGCGAAGGGCCTGCTGACGGAGCCAATGCTGAACCACAGGTCGATGACCGAAGGGCTGATGGCGTGGATCGCCAGGCCTGCGATCGAAAGAAATACTCCCGGGAGGAAAACAACAAAGCTAGCACACAATTGCCTTCCCCTGTCCAAGACGCATGGACAGCCCAAAAGGCTGCGGCTCGAAAAAGTGGTACCAAAATGGCACCTTGGTAAATGGAACCAAAGACTAAAACCCGCGTAACCCCAGCTCTTTAATTTTGAGCCATACCCAAAACCAGGCGGGCGCGAAGTTTGCTTACAAAGGTGTTTTGAAGGTGAGTTTAGGTCTGGTTTGAGGTTGGTCGAAGGGTTTCGGGAAAAACCAACAACTAGCACACAACTGCTTCCCCTGTCCAGCCGACAGCCAAAAATTTGGGATGCTGGCAACCTCCGGCTGACTTTGGGGGCCCGGGGCTGCAGATCTACTTACAGCCTGGCTCAAGCCTGGCTCGTCGGAAAACAAAGAAGTCGACCCGAAGTCTTAGCAGAAGCCGCCGGATTGCTGGGGGGGGTTGCCCCCCCAAAAGCGAAGAGGCACGCTTGTCAAATGGGCCACTTTGGAGGCAAGATCCACCAACGGTTTAGTCAGCCTGGGTTCACCTTTTAAAGAAAAGCCCGACCAAGCCGGTCAAACGGGTGCCACTGGACAGCTAGGCACCAAACCGGATGACGCTTGAAGGGCAACTGAAAGCAAATTGTCGTGAATAAGCGTTTCCATCATCGCGAAAACGCCATAGAAGCGGATGTGGTTCAAGTTTGCAAGATCCGATCCCTGCAAAGCGGAAGAACAACTCCATCTGGTCTGCAGGTGCACTCAGCAAAGCGATCCGAGACCTCCAGTAAATGTCGTTGGTAGCAGTCGAACTGAAAGAAAAGTCCCCAAGCCTTAGGAAAATGGGAAATGCTCCAGTCTTGGTTGACGTTGGAAGGGGAGCAAAAAGTCTCAAATTTTGGCAGTTAAGTGGATTTCAACCACTAAATCACAACAAGCAAACATGGGAAACATGTTGCCCAACAACAACCATGCAGTGGTGGGAAATAGGAGTTGAGACCAGCCAGCAGCTCCAAGTCTCGCAACTCCCAAACTTTCAGGTGCGCAGCCAGGCACCTGGACCTTCCCAGGCGCCAGAGCACCCTAGCTCTGGATCAAAGCGAGCAGGGAAATCCTGAAAACTACCAGCCCCAGGTTTCCGAGAAAAAAAGATTAAAACAAAAACTACATCCCACTTGTAACCCAGTTACTGAATAGGATGAACATCCAGTGCCATGTCGGCGGTCTAGGTCCTCCAGTAGAGAGGATAGAGTAAGGCTACCTTTTTGATGTGCAGTCTATTTTAGTAGGGGAACCCTCCCCAAAAACAGGGTAAAAGGGCATTAGTGGGGGAGAAAGGCAACTGACTGCTGACCGTTTCACCCTTAGGCTCTTCCTGAAGGGGCTGTTGGTTCGGCGAGGGCGACATGTCTCACGAGCGCGGCACTGCCATTTTGCCCGCAAAGGTCTTCATTCGCAGGGCAAGCGTGATGAACCTCTGGTCCCGTCTGTCTCATAAGCTTCATGCTTCCCAATAATGCCACTGACAAGATTCGCGCGACACGCAAAATATATACAAGGAACAGCAGGATGCAATGACGACTGTATTGCAAGGACTTCGGCCCTGACAATTCAGAGTCGCATCTTCCTCTGACATCTCACTCCTGAACCATCACGCCCGAAGCCTGGACATGTGCCATTGAATCGAGCGCAAGTAGATAGCTTGTCTCACGATGGGGGTTGGCGCCCCTTTTTGGAGGGCTCTCAACGGGAAAAAGAAAAACGGGAGGTCCGCCCGCAAAATTTAAGACGCACATCTTCCAATGGCCCTACAATTGCTACAAAGGCACGCGTGCAACACGCTGGCTGTGCCAAATGGTTGTCTCCTAAAGCAGGGAACCCCTTTCTGGATTTGAGAGGAATCCAAAATGAGGCTAAGTCATTCCCGGAAGGGCTTGTTGATCTTGAGAAGCACCGAACTAGTTCGCGCAAACTTGGGGGGTCCGGGAGACTGAAGTTGGCCCCGGTATTCTTCTCGTCTTCTCAACGGGCAATTTTGGATGGACTTGCGCTGAGCCCAAAGTCTGGCATGTTTCTGGGCCAGCGGGGGAGCCTGGGGTGCCCTTGTTTACCCTCATAGTCATCATTGCTGGTTTGAAGGGTAAGTGGCAAAGGGCACCTTGGGTGTCGTTGGTAGCTGAATGCTTGGCTCGCCTTCCCGCTGATTGATCCACCCGTGATTCCACTGCGAAGCGAAGGTCTCCATTTTGGGGACTAAATGACTTCAGCCACTCCTGGGTTTGAGTCTTGCCGGGGCAATGTTGAGTATGGATGAATAAGCTTGCGCATGAGCGGCGGATGTATTGGTTGGTCGGGCTGGCCATTGACCCCCAGGGAACGGTGTATACGCAAGGCTTTCAGGGAGCCATGACCCTGCGCCACAGAAGATTAGGTTGTTTTGACCAGTGAACGGCACATGGAGGGTACAACTGTGAAGCACCAAACATCAGCAAGTTGGATCATGGGGCCTGGTCTCCCTTTTGTATTCCTTTGAAGGGCTGGTATCGATGCGGGGGTGTTCCATTGTAGAGCGCATCCGCAAATATTTTGGTGGAAACACAAGGAGCCAGCTAAATTGATCCTGGCGCAACTGGGTCCAAAACAGAGCCACCGTCAAGCAGCACTTGTATGATTGTTGCTTGTTCAGGGGAACGGTCATGACTGATGCCGGCACATGGACACATGGCCAAGCCCCGGCGAACGCGAAACAAATAAGCTTCCGGTCCATATTTACTCTACCCTGAACCATGGCAGAATTTCGGAGGAGACACCCTCAAAATGCGCACCTTTTGAAGCCTGGAATAAATGCAAATAGATACATATATATATACACACCTAATAAACCGATTTGCCTCAGTGCCATCTATTTCTATCCAAACCAAACCAAGCCCGCTCGACTTCGAGCCCGGCCTCGACGGGCGGTCACTGTTCGTATCTCTTCCTGCGGCCGTCCTTGCCAAGCGCCTGCATGATCAGCTTCCGGGCCTCAGGCAAAGCCATCGTTTTTTTTTTTGTGTGTGTGTCTTTTTTTTGTTTTTCGGGGGTGGAGGGAAAACTCCATGTGAGTCACAATCAAAACCCGGTATTAAAATGGGTCGTATTCCCAGAACCATGCTTCAAGAATTAAGAAGGCAGCCGCAACTATTTCTGGCTCAGACTGCCCCTTACTAACCTGCATCTACCCGAGTTTTGATTGTGGCTCATGCGCTCCTTTGAAGGGTCTGAAGGGGAACCATTCTGAAGGGACTGTGTCCTTTCGAAAGGGTGCCAAAAGGAACTACGCTTTTATGGTGATGGGTGTAAAAGGGAACCCAAAGTGCTTGCAGGGTGCCAAACGAAATCACAAGCTTTTGGAGAGCGTTGAAGGGAAGCTATTTGAAATTCCAAACCAAACTGCACATCATTCGGTGGGACAAAAAAACTGGTCCACTTCCGAGGTGCTTCCACATTCACATCGCCCTGGTGCGGTTCCAATTCTTTTGAGGATACTGAGTGGTGCCCAAAAAGAGTGCTTGTGTACCGCTAAGCTGGTCTCCCCAAAACACCCAAAGTCCAACTCAGGGCACTTGGAGTGGCCTTGCACAAAAACAAAAGGACAACTCCTCCGAGACACAGAAGTTCCATAGTGGGTCAAGACCGAGCGCTGCCCGGGCGCCCTCCGAAAAACACTAGAGGGCATCGCCAAAGTTCGAGAGCATGCAACATGGCCGGGATTTGGGCATGCGATCCTAACAGCTGGTCAAAAACAAGTTCAACCTTCGATATTTTCCAAAGTGGAGTGACCCAAAAGTCAGAAACATGTTGTTGCCCACCTGAACCCGGTGCTTCTACCACTGTGGTAACCAGTGGAGTCACCGTCATTAAAAAAACGACTAGAGGTACGAAACCGTGATTGGCCACCCCAGCCACTCATCGTAACCTGCAAAACAAGCAACTGGCACACGTTTATCAGGAGTGTCGCTGGCTCATGTTTAAACAGCTTATACATTTTGCTGTTTAAACACTTGCTTAAACGGCATTTGTTTGAACGCTACCTTGACACACAGTGAGCAGAAAACCAGAGGACATATTTTGGGGGTGGTTCAAGGCCTGGACATTGCGCCCGTTCAACCGCTTACACGTTTAAACGGCAAGGGGCTCAGGGGCTGTGTGAACCTTGTCAAAACGTGCCTGCCACATTTGCAACCGCAAGAAATTCAATCACACTGCCCAAGCAAGTCTGCCAAACTGCAGACCTTGCAAAGTGGCAATGCCGCAGCCCTTGCCAACAGTGTCCTACCCTTGCAAGGCGTTCCAATCCACTGTCCAAGCAAGTCAAAACTGCACCTTGCCAAATTGAACAACTGCGCGCCATACTGCTGCGATATGGAGTTGTTGAAGGATGTTTAAGCATGTTCCGGTCGGGATGATGTTTAAACGCTTTATCAAATTTAAGCAAGGGCCTGTCAACTTGTTTAAATGTTTAATGCTTAAACTGTTTGATGTGTGAACATGTTTATTGATTGTTTTTGTTTCGAGGAGCCATTCTTCGTTCACCAAACGACTGTCCCCTGTTTTGCAGTATTGAGGCCTTGTTTCTGCATTGTGACACCCGGTCACCGGTTGATTCGGGGGGATGCTAATCAAAGGCGAAACCGCCACTCTTTGAATGGAACAGCAACTCAGGTTGGGGTCCTCGTTCTTGAGTCATGCAAAGCTATTCCCTGGAATCTCTGGGCACCCAGTCGCCCATTAGCTCATTTCACCATGGGAACACACCAAGTGGCGGGAAAATGATGCTGAGCAACTGGGCGAAGGGGGTTCATGGGGGAGCTCTTGACCCCCCAAAGCTCGATGTTTGCGCATGTTGTGACTTGGATTCTCAAAAGCATGGCCCCCTTTAGTATGGTTTGTGAAACAGCACGAGGAAACCACTTAAAAGGACACTGTACTTAGCTGCTAAGTCTTAGCAAGTGGCTAGTAAGCCTGGTTATACCCCACAAAAGCCGTGGTTAAAAGTCACCGCTCAGTGGGTTATAGCCAGGCATACGAACCACTTGTCAATTGCAGCGCCCCTTGAAGCAACCATCTGCTTTCCTGACATGGACCGAACGGGACGCAGGCGAGCGGCCGGCTCGCCGCCGAAGCCCTTCATGCGAGATCCTTCGTCCATGTCCGCAGCATTCACCACCTCAGTGGTCAAACGAGAGTGTTTCATGAAGCTAACCCATGCTGGTGTTTCCCTTGGGTTTAAGGGGAAACCACACTTCTTACGTGGGCCGCGATGGAAAAACGATTGGACAAAAACCAACAACATGCATTTGTTTCCAAGGCTAAGGAAAAAAGACAAAGAGGGCACTGCTTTTGGGCCTTGTGCACTCCATGCCGAAGTCAGGTGAGAACCTCGAAGTTTCGCTGTATATTAGGTCAATATGAAATCCAGCCCGCAACGTCATGTTGAGAATTGGTGAGGATACACACACATACAATAAATTGCAAAGATCCTTGGAATCGCTGCAACTTTCAAGGTTGAGCGCATGAACAGGACACACACACACCATGAAAACCACTGTTGCTGGTGGTTGGGCTAATCGTCTCAACCACTGCTATGTCAGCAACATAATCACCCGTTGTTGCCCCAACGGAAGATGAATCCAGCAAGAAACACAAACAAAACAAGCCCACTTAACACGAGCAATCCAGGTGGGCAGCTAATACTGTTATCAGTACTTTGGACAAACAAAGAACATCTTGCACTTTGAACAAAGAAATGACAAATGGTTGGTTGCCTATAGTGGCCCACCAGGCTTCCAGGGACGTTGTAAATAAATAACGTAGTCGGGTGCTGCAAAACCAAAATAAGCATCCCCCTGTGTTTAGGGGTTGGAACAGCCTTTCCATAGTATAGAATTGGGGATCGGCTAAGGAGTCTACGTGAGGGTGATTATGCGGGCAACTGCCTGCGGCTCAGGAGGCAGTTTCTTTTGTTCCAAGTGGTCTCTACAAAATGAAAGCTGTAACTTGGTTAAAAATTGCCTCCTCGAAAATGACCAAGTGGTAAAAATGCCGGGCAATCTCCACAAAATGCTGTAACTTGACGTAACCTGCAGTCCAACAAGTCAGTTGTAGCGTTGGCTTTGAGTCCTACCAATGCTTCGCACATCCAGAACAACCTTTCTGTTAGGAAAAACACAAACAAAGAGCAAAAGCCTTGCAACAAGCATCTCTTTGCACCATGAGAGCCAACTTCAACCAAGCCCAATCCCTGCAAAATGCCACAGGAAGCAAACCTCATGCCTACAAAATGACACTACCAGCCCACCTCTCAACATGGCCCTCAGAAAAAGCAAAAAGAGATGTAGCATCTACCAACCAATGGCATTTTGCCTTAACCCATTTTATTGTAGTCTATGAGGCCCAAGCATAGGTCGACAAAAAGAGCCCCAACCTGAGGCATGACCTCCTATACATTAAAAAAAGTCTATAGGGAGGTCAACCTCACCCATTTTGCAAGGGATATGCACAGAAGGATTAATAAGCCATGATCATAAGATTGCTAATGTGTGTAGTTGTTAAGCCGCTGGGCATGTGCCAATCTAGGAGCAACCTGCACAGTGGCAGGTGTTCCTTTTGGTTTGCCTCCATTTGCTTAAGCCGACAGATTCCCTTTCAAACCATCACCAAAAAACATATTTTCTTAAGCAGATGGACCGATGAACATCCTACTCCCAAACAAACACCACCGAGCCTCCCACACAAACTGCCTGCGAATCCCTCGCCGATTCCGAGGGGCCAAGGGCTGCTCGGAGATACCCGGCAGCAGCTTCGAGAAGTGGGGCACCACCTCCGGCTCAGTGTACCTCAGGGATTCGAAATCGAGGGCCTTGCAGCGGACAACTGGATGGCCATGGGTCAACTCTCGAGCCAAATCCAAATGGACAGGACTGAAATCTTTGCTACTGGACTGTAAACTGAATCCAAATTCCTGTTAGCCTGTCTTTATCCATTATTCCTTCCAACTGGACTGAAATCTTTGCTACTCTCAACATCATCTCTCAAAGGAGCGAAGATGTAAGGTGGTACCAAACGCTAAACCAGGCACGACCCCCTTGCACGGGGTGTGCCATCCCCATCCTGAAACACCCAAACCGACTCAAGACAACAAGTTTCGGGTTGGCAAAGCAGACCTTTTCTCGCACAAACCCATTTGTCTGTCGAGCCGTACGTCTTGACAACTTGAGCCGTCGAAGGACTTGGCCAACTCACAATTCACGAGTCAATCGGTCCAAGTGAAGCTATGCTCTTGTGGCTCCCGGTTACCCTCTCCCACTAACGTGGCACCCGGGGAGGTGCCTGGAAGACCAATTTCCTTTTGGAGGGTAACCGTATAGTAGGCAGCCACCAATTTTCTTTTTGTATATTTAGAGGGTGGTTCCCTTGTTTACCTTCTATACAGGGAACTGGAATCAGTGGGCTCTTATAATGAAGGACACGGGGAATCAGTGATTGTGCGTCTTTCTTTTTTTGGACGGGAAATTCGGTGAGTCCCTGCCCGTGTTCCTCCTAATGCAGCATACAGCATACGGGATGTGTTGACTGACTGCAGCCATTTGACATGGACCCACCAAGTTGACTGGGCGGAACAATGCCTCAAGGCTGCTGAGGGCAAATCACAGGGTTCCGAATCAAAGTCTGCGGCAACATCACCCAGAGCTCACTTCAAATTGGAAATCAGTGATTTGACAACCATCCAAAAAGGGGAATATAGAGAAAGCTGAAGGGTCAAAGAAGGGAAGTCGGTTGGAGGTGGTTCCAGCAGCAATCTCGAGAGCTGCTCGGATTGCGAATGGATCGCCAGGCGGCTGTGCCGAAATGCAGTGGGACTCTTCCACATCCGGAAGGCCCTCGATGGGAGATGGCACCTGGCTGAATATTGGGATCCTGGATGTTCCGACTTGACACATGCGCGTTATTGAGCCATGAAATCTGCCAATCGGATGTTGCAGCCTCACCCCAACAAGTTGATACCCTCCCGTCGACTAACATGGAACTTCCACCAGAGTTTGTTTTTGTTTAAGGAAACTAGTCGTCCAGCAGTCAGGTTCCATGTTAGTCGGCAGACAGTCTTGATTTGGTACACACAGGGCTTGCCTTCCGCCTGGCCCGCCTGGAAAAAATACACTGAAATACAGCTGAACCGTTCTATGGGCATGTTGGTAAACAATGGTTTTCCACGGTAAATAGCTCATTTGTTTAATGTGCATGCTCGTTTTGAGTCAAACCATGTTCTCCAAGAAAAACAACTCCTTGCTTCAGGGGTTGACATCGCAGAAGCCAACCATATGATACGCAATGATTCCAGTTCCATAATAGCAGAGACAGGGACATTGGTAACGGCAAGAAACACAAGTTCCCTGTGGAAACTGAAAGAACCTGGGCAGGCAGCTAGACGTCTTCCAATTTGCTTGTGAAAGGGTCGCTAAATCGCCAGGCGCATCCTTTGGTGAAGTGGGGTGGGTTCCTGCGCAAGGCTTCCTAGGGGGTGGCTTCTCGATCTGCCAGTTGGGGGCTCTCGACTCTCAATGACCACGATGCCCAGAAGTGGTGAAAAGGACTCTGTTCAGGTTTGAAGGTGCATTGATTCTCAGCCCAAACCCTAAGCCTTAACTGAGCTACAAACCAGAAACTCTAAACCATTGGTGTTTCAGCGTCCAAGGACACTCCAATCTGCCCTCACTCCAGGCCCACCTCGCGGTTGGCGCCGCCCCCCTGCCAGCCCTCTAAACAGCCGAAGAGGTACCTGTGGAGGCTGGGGATTGTGGTACCCCACCAACAAACATGGAAGTGCGCTAGCCCTTGTGCAAAAATTATTTTCCTCTTCGAAAAGGGCTTTGTGCACTTCCATGTTGGTTGGTGGGAGGGTAACATCTCGGGTCTGTGGCTGTGTCAAAAGGGGACACTCAAAATTATGGTTTGCCCGTGGATTTCCCTTCAAGCCAATGCCACAAGGGCTTTCCTAACAAAACGCACACGCACGCACAAGTATACAGCCAAGGACAAACACGTATCAGTGTCACCTCTTCCAAACAAACAAAAACGGGGCCAGGTCGTCAGTTTTGCCCCAACAGCTGGATTTTTTGGGGGTCTCAGCCCAGATAGGCTCCGGGGTGGTCTGGGGCGGCCCTGAGGTAAGGTTTCACAAGGGTTCCACCAGGGTTCCTCGAGGGTTCCACGAGGTTTTGCGAGGGCTGCGGGTGGTGCGAGCATTAAACAGAGCAACGCATGCTGTTGGGGATACCACTTGAGCTTTGTTTTGTGTTTTTTTTGGGGGCACCACAAGATTCAATGATGTTCAGGAACCGCACCTGGTGTTGATAGGTGAAGACCGTTCTCCATGTTTAGTTTCTCCCTAGAACAACTCAAACCAACAGCTTCTTCACCGGAACACATCGACACCTAAGGCCGTTGCCGGAGATGGGCTCCATGTTTTCTACGGGTACTGTAGTTTTTGCCCGCAAAAAAAAACACATAAGTTGGATTCTGGTCAATACTGGACCTTGAAATGCAATTGTTAGAGACGCCGAGACGAAATTCTCCCAGCCTGTCCCGCACGGTCCTTGGCAAAGACCCGCTCGCACAGGGTGAGGTAGGGCATGCGAATGAAACAATCTCAGAAACTTGCCTCAAAATCATAAAGTTTCCGTGGCGTGGAGATGGGTGCCTAAATTTGAATCATCCTCTAGCGGGCAAAGCCCAAGCAAACATAATGTCAATGCCCTCGGCGAGCGACACCCTTTCGGCAGCAAATGGTTCCAACGCAACTGTACCCTAATACAGTGTGTATCGGCAGCCTATGTGGAAAATTGAACCCACGACGTACTGCAAAAGGTTCACTTCCAACTAGCTACTCGAGCGGCGCAAACCATATTGACTGCTGGTCCTGCCACGAATGGTGTAAAGATAGGCCTTGCTATCATCGCTCAACCAACAGTACTTAAGACGCATGCCACCCCCATTTAGAAACTCCCCTGTACATAGACATGGAACCACAAACAATCTGTTCAAAGGATAAATCCTCCATACACATCCGTGTGGGGCCCTTCTGTTTCTGCCGAAGAACGGGGCCCCGACAAAAAAAGTAGGACCCTTAGTGAAATTGCCTACTTTTCGCAGGCGAAGGGTGGGAACAGGTCCTTTTCCCGTAGGTGTCCCTTTGCTGGTTGGACAAAAAAAGGAGTGGGGTCGCGATGGCTGAAATCTGAAATTCTGGGGTTCCTGCAACTGAATCTTCAAGATCGAAAGCAACGTTTGCTTGGTCCAAAAAGGGGAACCCCGTAAAATGATCTAACATGGGCTTTGTCCCTTCGGTTTCCCTTAAGCTCAACCCTTCACGGGTACCAAGCTTTAAAAATCACACATCCATCTCGTATAACCGCCTCCATGTTTTGTGTATTTGTTTTTTGTTAAGGAACCTACTTTCGAGAGTTGTGTGTCCGTTATGAGAGTTGTTTTTGTTTTTAAGGAACCTCCTTTTGGTTGGTGTTCAAGGCAAACCAAAGGAAACAAATCCTTCTGGGGTTGTTGTTCAAGACAAAGCCACGATCCGGGTGGAGCCAAGACTCTGCTTCAATCCAGCGTGTCCTGCCTCAAAGGCAGCTTGTGCCAGCTGTACCGCGTGGAAGAGCGCCTGGATGTGGTTTGCGCCGGTCACTAAAATCGATAATATTTTAAAGTCGACCCAGGATTCATAAACCCGTCCCATTATTAGGGGGGTGTTCCCTCTAAAAGTGATGAATCCCCACTAAATGGGGACACCCCCCCATTAATCAACCAGGGGTTTATTATTCCGGGGTTAACATTAGCGGTCACCGCCATGTTCCTTGGTTTTAAATCCATTTGCTGAAGTCCCCTGCGCAAACATGACAAACATTTTGCAGTGACAGTGATAGATTCCCATACACAAAACCACACGGGAACATCAATCATGCTCTTGAGCAAATGGGAGCAAAGGCTCTAGAGGTGGTTGAGTCGAATGAGGCGCTCCCACGCTGCGAACCAAAGGCCCATATGGGATACGGCAAACTCCGATTTTCGGATGCCAAGTTCGGGAGGCTACATGTTGGCTTCCCGGCTGCGTTTTGAGAAGAATCCTTAGACAGAACGAGGAGGGTACTAAGAAGGGCGTGGCGGGTTCACCTTTTGCCTTCAACACTATCCAGAGCTGAGTTCCTTCTTTGGCTGCGCACTCAAACTACCACTCAAAATGGCTGGCTTCTGGTTAGTTACTGTGAAGGGTCCCTGGTGTTCACATGGCTAAAAACCAGAGGCTCTGCAACAGGTTCGTCAGCATACAGCAAACGCAGATTCGGAGGCTTTTTTGGGCGGCGTCGCCATCAGCCCAGTACATCGAAGGCGCTTGGCACAAAAACCACGTTCCTCCAAAATTGAGCCCTTCGATCATGGAGGGAGATGCCACCTAAGAACTAATTGTAAACATGTCATGGCGGATTGATGAAAAAAGTGGTTGCTCTCTGTTCGCAATGGAGGATGTTTGTTGTAGAATGTGTTGTCCTGCCCTTGTTCCAGATTGATGAGAAGCTCTTGCCACCTGACACTTCAGTTGGCAACAAAGGCGCATGGGCAACCGGTGCCCTTTCCCGCGACCATTCTTGGAGCATGGCAAGACACAAGACAAATTCGACTAGCGTGTCGGCACTTGTGCGGCGCCCTTGTGACCAACCGAAAGCTGTGAGCTCTCCTTGTCCTGCTTGTGGCCAAAGACCAGGACGTCCCCTCGTCGATTGCGAATCTGGCGCGCCGGGCCGTGCAAAACCCGAGAAAAGACAACAAAGAACATATGGCCATGGGTCAAAATCCCGTACCCCGAGTGAGCATCCCAATCCCCACTAAAATGGGTTCTAACATGGGTGGTGAATTCACCTACCAACCAAAATGGTACCATTGGTTTTGACAACCACAGCCATATTGATTAAGATAGGGAGGTGCAACTCACTTGAAAGGGGATCCGGGCCAGCCTTAGTCTCTGTCAGGTTAACATGGAGAGCTCAAAATCATGGAGAATCACTTTCCTGGGCGGATATTATCTTTAAGGGTGCCATGTTCGTTTCCGAAGCGGTACGTGGTCACGCAGGCCCCTCTCCTTCAACCTCTGTTTTCTACTTGCAAGACTCCTCCCGGCTGCCTCCTTCTTTCCAAAGACGACAAGGAATATACTCCTACTTGCTGAATTATTGAGCTGCAAGAATATGTCCACCGCCAGTCAACAGCACGGGGCGCGTTCAGGTTTGTACTACTGTGTTTTCGCTGTTTTATTCTTGGGTCGTTCGGACAAATTAATCAATGGGTGACTAAGAAGATGCACATAAGCGTCGATGGTCCACGAAGCCACACATGAGGCCAGGTTAACGGCCAACAGCTAATGCAAGCGTGCGTGCAACCAACCTAGAGTTTTGTAAATGTCACAACCTTTCTCTCAGGTCCTTTACTTTCATACCTCCAAATGGACCGCTGGCCACTCAGGGTATATGCCCCAGAATGCATACGTTTGCAATTGTTACTATTATTGTGATTGTTACGTAATACATTTAAACGCTTGTAGGTAGTGCGTTCATGTTGCGGATGTAAACCACCGGTACCCGAAATGCGCGCACACATTCATTTGAAGCCAAGCTCCGAATATGTTCCATAACGCCATCCCCATACCAATATGATGTTATCAGCAACCAACAAGTCATGTGACTTGTAACCATCCAAATAGGGAACTTCAAGGACCCCTGTTTCTCCTTGTCACGAGGCCTTGCCCCGCCTTCTCATGAGGCTTCAGCCGCGCCAAGAGAGGCCCCAGGATTCGCAGCAGCCGCGGCTCGTCAATGAAGGGCAACAGAACCACCGCCTGTCCCGGTACAAAAAGGATGTTTTCATGCTAGGTCCTCCAGTAGAGAGCTTAGAATAAGGGTACCCTTTTTCCGTAGTCTATTTTAGTAAGGGAACCCTCCCCAAAAAAAGGGTACAAGGGCACTACTGGGCGACCTAGCACGTGAGGTCCTTACAAAATGATCCTTGTTCAATTGAGGTCCTGCATGGAAACCAGTCAGGTAAAACAACCTCCATGTGTTGTCCCAGTTTCTTGGCTGTTCCTGTGGCCTCAAGTTGCCCCAAAACCGGTCCCTAGTGCACTCAGTTACCACTAGTCGACCAGAACTGCTACCTACAGATTCTAAACCACCACTTGCACGTGAGATGGACCTGGACATTGCACAGCTGCAGAATACCATGTTGCCGTGGGTCAAAAATAGGTACCCAAAATTGCACCCTGGTAAATGGAAAATATGACTAAAACCTGTGGTCACCTGGTGGTGTAATTTTGACCCATACCCATGTGTGGAGATTGGCTATCCGAATCCAACGTGGTGCCAAGCGTTTTGCAGCATCTTTGGACAAGAACATTGGGCATGGTAGCATAAGTATCGTGTCAGCTACTAATGAATCCGGAGGACCAATCAAAGGAAGCCCTACATGGATCATGTCTTCTACTGAAAGGGGAATCACCTCTGATTTAATTATCCGGAAGATTTGAAATTAGTCACTTGGACGTTTGACCTAATTGCGGCCCTTTGAAGCCCTGAGCCAGCACAGAACAACAAGGGATCGCAAGGGAGACTCACCTAGGGGCTCAAGCCTTACGGCCAAAGGCTAAATGAGCCCTTGGGCAAGGCAACACTAAAACCCAAAGTCATCATGGCTGTGGGGGTTGAAGGGTCCCTGACAGCATGTTTGTCAACCAATGTCTGACAATATAAGGATCCCTGGATCACGTCAAAGGAAAATTGGATCCGCTTGGACAGCTATAGACTCATTTGAGTTTCCAAGTCCGACCCACATGACTCTCTGCTCTCAGAGGGGTTGTCTGCAGAAGGGGTCAGCCTTCAAATTTTCGAACGGGTGGTTTCTTTGTGGTCGCCATAAGATAATCCGGCAAGAACCACCTTCAACTAATCCGCCCGTCTTGCAAAGTTGCACCTCGCCTGCCAAGTGAAGCGTTTGCCGTTCAGGTCCAAGCCGAAGTCCACGGGGTAGAAGTCGATCAATCTAAGATCAGTCAGGGGGTCAGCGGGTCCAAAGGACACGGAACCTCCAAAGACTTTTCTTGGGGAGGGGGGAGGGGGGAGCTCACCGAGTAGCCGCCTGACCGTTGGTTTGAAGACGATGAACAAAACGGCAGCGCGGACCCAGCCCGACTCATCGACGCTACAGGTGTTGCGCAGCAAAGGTCAGATGTGGCAGTGGTAGGAAAACACACGTTTTTTAGAAAGTGAAACAGCTCAAACATTGAATCCCCCCAAAACGACCCTAAACGGCGTTGCTTAAGCCAACTACAGTCATATTCAATAACTCAGATGGCCGGACATCCGAACCATATTGGGGAATGGGTGAGGTCCCGTTGGCTCGCCCTTAGAAAAGTCCCTCACCAAAATGACCCCCCCTCCCTTTTTGGGGCTAAAGGAAACCCAATAGATCCGACTTGCTTTAAAGATTCCTCGTATATTGGTCAATATGGTCCTTCAATTCGGTTTGTCTCCAAATAGGCAAACCTCCAGAATGCATTTGGCATCCCTTTGATTTCCCTTTGAATTCCCTGTGGTTTTCCGGTGGTTTCATCCAAACCCTTTGAATTCCCCGTGGTTTTCCAGTGGTTTCATCCAAACCTGGGAACCAAAACGGGCACCGCGATGCAGCCCGGCAGCGGCGAGAAGCTCTGCTTCATGAGCTCCCGCATGGCCGCAGGGATCCCCGCCTGAGTCGCCGCGATCCCCGCCCCAGCGAAGCGAGCGACCCAAGCAAACAGCCGACAAGAAGAAAAAAAACACGACACGACAACACGCAGAAACAAAAAAGCACTATACTCTTATCCAATAGGGTTTCAAACAACCAAAAAGCAAACAAAAGACAACGCGACACGACAAACACGCAGAGAAGAGAAGCACTATACTCTTATCTTTTTCGGGTTTGTACTCACATACTGAACATATGGGCATGAAGATCATTTGATGCGGGCCCTGCAACGATGGCTCCACCTACATCAACTCTCCCAAAAACTAAGCTCACCTTTTGGGATGGGGTTGGTGCCTCGCGGTTTGGGATGCTTGGGACAAACCAAGGATCAAAGCACACATGGCTGTGGCTCAAAAAACCGGAATCCCAAAATGGCTTGCCCTGGTAAGTGGAAACATGGGTACCAAAACCTGCGGTTTGCGCCTCTTGCTTAATTTTGAGCCACACCCACATGACGACTTTTATATCCAACCAACGGTGCTGAGATTCGAAAACCACTTCGGAAAGAGTTGGGAAAGACAACGCAAGGTGCGTCAAATGAGCATGGCTCGCCACGCCGACTGCCGACTGCCGCTTCTCACGAAACAGGCCTACCTCGCAACTTGGTCTTGGACATGCCTAGGCCCTAGAGTAGTGAATAAGAAGCCCATTCAGCACGTTCCAGTTGCATTCACAAAGAGAAGACTTTGCGCAGTTGTTCTATGGCTTTGAACAGGTGGTTGGATGTCAACGCCTGCATCCAAGTATCAATAAAGTCCTTGCCCCACCTTCATCTTTAGCATCCAAGAAACACTCAAAGTTTCCCAAATGGTTAAATTGGCTCATAGTCTCCCTTGCTATTCATGGCTGACTGAGAGTAGCCCCCTGCATGCAACAGGGTGGCCTTTTGCCGTTCCCTTTCGGGACCAGCTTTTGGCATAGCTCCAAGAGGAAACCTTCCCTGTTTAGGAGGGCAATCATTCAATACGGCACTCCAAAAAGGAAAGCCCTGCAATTGTCGTGCCTTTGTTGCATTGACGTGCCATGAGCAAAAACAACAAAAGCGCATTTCTCAACCACTATAGTCATCTCCCCAACACACAAAAAATGGGTAAATTGAAAGACTTCACCAACCTGAAATGAGGGGACTCTTCGCAAGGCAACTAGAATTTGACCAGAGCCACTGTAGCCATGTCACATAACGCGCAGTTCAAGCAGCCAGAGGCATCCCCCGACCATGGCCCGTGCCATTCTCACACTAGTCACTCCAATACAACAGCAACATGGATATGTTTGTTTCGGGTATCGTGTTGGAGTTGCTTGAAGAAACAAAAACAGAGGGAACACCACCCTTTCGGGGTCACCAACTTAAAACCCAAATCGCTTCCCATGCTATTGATTGTACCTGCCGCCAAGTCACCTCTTCTGCACTCACCGGCGGCAAGACACTCATCAGCTGCTGGAAAGGTTGGAAAGGTTGTCCCAGCCTCACGCATGGTAGTCACATATTCAGCGGCTTCCATTTTGCGTCCCATGGCCATGCATGCCTATCCGTATCCATATCCACATAGCCCCTGCTGCAAACCCCCCACCGATACTTGGGACAGCTGCCAGAAACCAGCACAAGGCAACGGAAACAAGGAGTGGTGTGAAAAGTTCACAGAATGACAACAAACCGGTCCATGTTCCTAGGGGTCCCGTAGAAACAAACAAGTCTGTGAGCAACCCTGGATGACATCAAAAGACATTCCGGTCCAATGGAACGGCTATATGATGAGCTTCCCAACTGTTGTGTTTGAATATAGACACTTGCCCAGCCATGAGTGGCTTTGCATCTGTATCAATAATGGGCAACCCCAAAAATTAACGAACTAACTTCTGATATCTCTTTGAACTTAGCTATGACAGCGGTCCCCGAATGTTGAAACTGGTTTTGGTAATACGATAGCCGTCCCCATGACTACTTAAACTCAGGGGGATTCGCTTGGTATCACCCAA